TTGATAGGACCATGTAACCTGATAAGCAGGGGTCAGTGCAGTTCCTTCTCAGATGCTTCTATAAAAACTCAGCACCGTCCTGAGTCCAGGGTAGGGCATCAGTGAATAACTCACTCAGAGGTGGCTTTACCATGAAGTTGAAGAAGCTTCAGCTCCAGGGCCCCTTTAAGGGCCCACGAGGGCTCTAGTTATCTGTTCACCTGGCCACATGTATTTATAAAATTTACAGATAATGCAACACATACAATTATAAATGCACCATGATTTTTTATCATCAGGATTGTGAAAAGTAAAATGTATCAGAATCCCTGTGTTTTTCAAGCACAAGCCTGCAGTGGCCCTGTAGAGAGTGGATACATCTGTTGAAGTTCCACGCTCTGTGCTTCCCAACTATCAGTAGTAACAGATTCTGATCAACTGAATTAGCTTTCTGTCCTCTATAGAAAGTATTATAAAATAGCGAAGAGCATGATAAATATATGAAATGTAATAGGTCGTTTAATCCTTTGTAGAATGCTTTCTTTTAAATTTCTGGCATATGGAGGTCAGTTTACTAATAGGTGGGTTATGGCTGATTATTTGAATATTGTATCAATACAGTTTGCTGTTAGTTAAGCTAAGGGCATAGAAATACAATCCCACTGTGGGTAAACATGTCAATACTCTGGCAGTTTCAATTATGGTGAGTTTCTCTTTCAGGGAAAGTATTAGTCGAGGTAGCATTTTTCAAGTAAAAAAACAAGACTTAAAAAGCTATTGCTCTATCATACTTCCTAACATTGTTAGGAATGTGAATGTTTTTAGAACAATGGTCTGAATGAAATACAATTAGAATGCTAAAACTGCCACCTCCCCCCTCCCCTTTAAAATAAAATGCCTTTAAGGAACTAATCACACTACTAGGGCTTTGAGACATAGGTGGGATGCTTCTGAATTGAGCTTTCATTTGATGACATAACGGGACTGACTCTGAGGAAAGGGCAGATGGGAGAAAATGCGTGTGGGCTCTCTCAGCCTGGGCAAGAGGAGGCACAACCAGTGAGGAAAGACTTTAGACCAGGGAGGCTGGGATAACCAAAGGTAAGCGTTGCCAAACTTGGCCCATACATGGCTCCGCTGGGGAGGGAAAGTGGTGCTTTCTTTCCTTCTCATCTTATTTACTTAAAAAGTATTCAACATGTTCAAGAAACAGCTGGAAATAGTGTTTTGGGGGAAAATTAACATTTAATATTACTGAAAATAAAATCTGCTGCTTCTGCTTCCAACTAAGGTGGACTAACAGGAGTCAGATTTAATCTTCTACCTGAAACAATGAACCAAAGTATATGAAATAGTTCTCAAGACACTGAACATTTGGCAGTGAAAGAAACTGATGCCAAGAAATGGGACAATAAAGCAGCCATATGACTGACCCATCTTTCCTCCTCAAGAGATTTTCAGGCCGCAGGACAATGGATGGGTACATGGGAGGAGGCTGACAGTCTCCTTCATGAGTTGGAGAGAGTCCAGTCCAGCATGAAAGGAGCTCGGAAACTGTCATTCCCACCCAAGAAGAAAAACTAAACAAACTGAAAACCAACAACTCTTCTTAGATCCAGCAGATAACTAATATACAGTGTGAACCACTGCAATGAATACTGGAGAAATGAACAGACAGAAACCTTCGAAGGAACCAGTGCTGGGTTCCTTTTGCCTAGCACATCCTGTCTGGCTTTCAACAAAAAAAAAATCACAAGGCATACTAAAACACACACACACAAAACACAGATTGAGGAGATAGAGCAAGCATCAGAACCAGACGCACATACAGCAGAGATGTAGAAATTATCAGATTGAGACTTAAAACAACTATGATCAATTAGATAAGGGCTCTAATGAAAAAAGTGGACAATATACAAGAATAGATGGGCAATATAAGCAGAAATATAAAACCTCCAAGAAGCAATCAGAAAGAAATGCTGGAAATCAGAAATGCTGCCACAAATGTGAACAATGCCTTTTACGGGCTCATCAATAGACTAGACGTGGTTGAAGCAAGAATCAGTGAACTTGAAGAAATGTTCGATGAAAACCTCCAAAACTAAAATTCAAAGAGGAAAAGAATGGGGAAAAAAAATATACCCGCAAGACAGAATATCCAAGAACTGTGGGATACACATAATGGGAATGTCAGAGGGTGAAAAAAAGAGAAGGAACAAAAGAAATATTTGAAACAATAATCACAGAGACTTTCCCCAAATTAACGACAGATACCAAATCACATATTTGGGAAACTCTGAGAACATCAAATAGGATAAATACTAAAAATATCCACACCCAGGCATATCATATTCAAATTTAGAAAATCAAAGACAAAGAGAAAATCTTGAAAGAAACCAAAGATATACAACATCTTATCAATAAAGGAGCCAAGATTAGAATTACATTGGGCTTCTCTTCAGAAACTATGTAAGCAAAAATGGAGTGAAAGTGTTATTAAAAAAAACAAATAAACCACCAAACTAGAATTTTGTACCTAGCAAAGTTATCCTTCAAAAGTGAATAAGAAATAAAAACTTTCTCAAACATAGAAAGTTAAAGGGAATTAATTAAAAACAGACCTGCCCAGTAAGAAATGTTAGAAAAAATTCTTCATAAAAAAAGGAAAATGCTATGTAGGTGAGAAATGTGAATCTACATTAAAAAAGGAAGAGCATTACAGAAGGAATACATGAAAATACTCATAAAATAAAAATATTTTGTATTTCCTATTCTTATTTGAAGTTTGTTCAAAATAATTGCAGTAACAAAATATTCGGTGACTACAGCTATGGATAAGTTAAATAACAGCAATACCGTAAGGGAAGGGAGGAGGAGTTGGGACTATTCTGTTACAAGATGCAACAGTGTTATTTGAAAGAGGTCATGGGTTAGTTGAAAACTCAAGAGCAACCACTAAAAATGTTTTTAAAAAGTGTAATTGATATACTGAGATGAAAAAAAATGAAATAACATAAAATGCTCCATTAAACTAGAGAAGGAAGATGAAAAGTAGAGGAAAGAAAAACAAAGAACATGGACAACAAATAGAAAACAGGAAAAAATATACTACATATTAATTAACCCACCCATATCAATAATCACTTCAAATGATTAATGTCAAATCATTTTCTTCAAATCAAAAACTTCAAATGTCAATGGTATAAATATACCAATTAAAAGACAGCAACTTGTCAGAATGGATCAAACACAACAGGACAAAACTATACAATGTCTACAAGTACCCCGCTTTAAATATAAAGTCACAGACAATGAAAAGGAATGGACAAAGATGCCAACGCTAATCAAAAAAAGTTGGAATCACCGTATTAATTTCAGACAAAGCTATAAAAATTATCAGTGATAAGGAAAAGACTTATCAATTCTCCACGAAGACATAACAATCCTTAAGGTGTGTGCACCTGGTATTAAGGCGGGTCCCAATCTAGTATGACTAGTGTACTTACAGAACGGGGAAATTTGAACAGACACACATGCAGACAAGACAATAGGAGGCAGACACAGGGCAAAGGTGGTCATCTCTAAGTCAAAAGGAGTGGTCTAAAATAGGTCCCTCTCTCAGAGCCCTTATAAGGAACCACTCTTGATTTCAGACTTGCAGCCTCCAAATTGTGAGAAAATACATTTCAGTAAGTCACCCAATTCATGGAACTTTTTTTACAGCAGCCCCAGAAAACTAAAATATGTAAATTATATCTCAATAAAGGTGCTACCAAAAAACTAAACTAGATGCTGTCTACAAAAAACTCACTTCCAATATGACAACAGGTTAAACATAAAAACTACTCCAGACATTTGCAATAACGTGGTTAACAAAACCAGAAACAGAAGAATCCTAGCCTTCCTGAGCGTTTGGGAGCAATGGCTGTGTGTACCACGAAACATGGGTCAAGGGGCAGGGGAAGGGCGGCGAACCAAGCAAGGTTACACCTACACTTACATTTCCAGGGAGAAATAAGAGAAAAGAAGTTCCTGGTAAGTTAGGGGAAAAAAATGTCACCAAAACCAAGAAACAGAAGGAAGTGTAACAAATGTGGATTTTCAAGTTAGTAAAAGTCAAATCCATGGAACTTGACAATTATGTGTGCATTTTCACTCCAGCAAGAATACTTCCAGAAGTGTGATTCCATCATATCAACTGCTTGCCAATATCCTCAAGATGTTATTCCTATCATTCTTCTGTTCACCCACTTTAACCCTGAGCATTGCTGAAGTCCCTCAGATAAATGGATGCCACTGTAAGGCTATGGTGTCCAACTCACTGCTGTCCTCTTCTTGTCCCTTCTTCCCATTCTCTAGGACCACTACTTCAAACTATCCCTGCTGTCGGTGTACCTCCCTCCTCACCCCTCCTCGCTTCTGGAACTGGCCACATCACTCAGTTTGCCTCACTTGATTCTCAGACATGAAAGCAAAATCATTAGATGAGAACTTCCAATCCCTGCCACTGAAATGACACACACGCCTGTGCCCATACCCATCACTTTATCTGCCTGTGATACGGATCTCAACTTCTCCCTCCCGCTCAGGAACCTGAGTGTACTGACGGTCTTGGCCTGCCTCCCCACTCCCCTGCCCGCCTGCATTTTCACCTCCCCCACTGATTCCATCCCACGGCCCCATTAACATTTACACATGAGGCTCAAGATGTTCCCGTCCTTAAAATTCCTGTCTGCCGCAGTTCCATCGCTACAGCCTCGCCCTTCATCACAGCCGGTTCTTGAGTGGTCCGTATCTGCCCCCTCCGCTACTTCGCAGTCCTCATCCCCCTGCAACCTGGGTGCAACCTTCATTCTCCACTGAAATTGTTCTTGAGGAAATCACTAGATACGGCCTGGGTGGGGAAGTCAAAGGAAGATCTAGATGACCACAGTTCTCCAGTTCTAAGGTGTATATCCGCTCCTCTCCTACATTTTAATGGGCTACCTCTTTACAATCAATGGAACTGAAAGCAATGGGCCACTGCTGCTCGGCCTTTTGGCAAAGATCAAGAGTAGTATCTGTTCTTATCAGTTTAATAGCTGATACACCCTCTATGCAAGGATAATTTATTAACTGGATTTGTAGAGCAGTGAAGATGGAATGGGAGCTTCCTCTGTCCACTCCACGCAACGACCCGATATTGCAGTACTTTGGGGAATGGCGCATACACACACAAAAAAACAATGGGTCATAGTTTAAGTTCTTGATTTATATAAGGACTTAATCAGGTAGATTCAATCAAATGGTGTTTTTAAAATGTTTTTGAGACTTTCACATATCAAAAGCTTTTAAACTTCACTCTTCCTGAAATCCTCTTTTGGCCCCACACCACACCCTTCTATCTCAATTGCTCCTTCTCAATCTTTCTGTTGCATTCATTTCCGAGAGCTTGTCTTTCCTCACTGACTTCTCCGGGTGGACTGTTGCACTTTCATGGTTTTGCGACCACCCATGTGTTGTAGAGCAAGCCTGTAGCTCATCTAATGGCATGTGGCCATGACTTCCAGAGATATCAGATTACAGTTCTGAAGTACTGAGTCCAGCAATGACTTGGGTCAAGTTGTTAGCCTTGAGACATAAATTGGACCATCTGCACCTACAACTGTACTGAGTAATTCAAGTGTAACATACCTGACCTAGATGAGCGGTCCTCAGTCTGTAATGCAGATTACATGCAGAATTTCCCCAGCCTTATACGTAGATACAGTAGGCTGGACCTAAAAGGGGTCACTGAGGCTTTCAGGTTGAATACAACACCTACTCGCACATTTTCCCCACACTATGCATGCCCTACAAATCTCCCATTCCCAGCCCTTGTCCCAGAAGATCTTGGACTCTAGGTCAGTGAACTGACTTTTCCAAACTCCCCAAGCACCTTTCACCCCATCATCTGCCCCAAACACGTACTTCCTCATTTTCCTCTCTGGGTGAACACCAGCTACTCAAGCGTCAAATGATTTCCATAGAGAGCGAAAGTCAAATACAGTTACCCACCATTTTTTCATTCACAAATATTTATTGAGCACCTACTATGCACCACACCATGTTAGGCTCTGGGATGCAAGTGAAATAAGGTTATCACCCCTGCCCTCATGGAGCTTACAATCTAGTAGGGGAAACAGACAGTACACAATGACTAATACATAAAGTACAGGTTGTAATAAGTGCCATATAATATATAAACAGGATGTGGTAAGATTAGGAAACACCTATTTCTTAGAATAATCAGGAAAAGGCCTCTCTTGTGGCTAAAAGCTGGGTTTGAAGCCTGGCTCCTCACAAGCTGCATGACCTTAGGCAAGTGACTTACCCTCAGGGTCTGTTTTCACATTCATAATATGGAGATAATCATACCAAATTCAATACTCATTACTATTAATAACTAAGAACTCTGCATTGCCTTCTCACTGCTTTACAAGGCCCTTCATTTCTGACATACTTCTTTATATTCTTGAGCAAATGTCCAGCCATTGTGAACATTTTAGTCCTTTTTATCTGACAAACTTCCAAATCTACTCTCCTGTTTCTTCTTGTATGTTATGTCCACCAAATAAGTTGTCTCATCAATGTGCTTCTGGAGCACCCTCCACTTAAAGCCTTTTACTGTTGCATTTTAATCTCCTATTTTGTTCTTTTGCATATTCTACCCAAGTACAACTTCGGTGATGGCAGGGACCTATCCATTTCATGCTCCAAGTGCCTGATACAATGCCTGGCATATATAGATGTCAAAAACTTGACACTTTTGTAAGCCAAAGCTATAGAGATGAAAGACATGAAGGAAAGGGGGCAAGTCCGATAAAGGTCCTGAGGGTGACAGGAGGAAAAGGGTGAAAGGTCTACATCATCCTCTGAAATTGGAATGAGGATGAAGATGAGCATAGGTGGGGAGCAATCATGCTGGATCTTCTGCTGGAAGGGGTAATAAACGTAATTGGTGAGAATGGGTGAAAGAACCATGCCATGCCAGGTTAAAGGACTGATAGAGGACCGTGAGGGTGGGATCCAAGGATACTTTCCAGGCTGTGATGATGGAGAGCAGTCTAAGTTGAACAAGGAGAGAAAGAGAGGTGGAATGGCCATAGGGCTTCAGTGGAAGATAGTGTTGGAGGTGACATAACCAACAATCTCACAGGCTACACAGTGGGGTGGACCGTAAGAATGTAGATACTGAGAATACCACCACCACACGTCAGGAAGTGAAACCTTCAGCAAGTCAGAGTGATCAGGCTAACTGGTGAGGGTAGCTGACAGTGGAACCTCTTGGCATGGGCTGCAAAGGTGCAGATTTTTGTCAGAATTATGACAGAAAGGGCAGCAACGGCCACCTCTTGAGATACATGGAATACAGAGACCACACTGGAGAGATCTGCAGGACATGGCTGCACTTCAGGCAACAACCAAATTTGTTATGAAAAGGTTTAGATGCAGCAGAGCATGATTAGGGAGGAGAGGATGGTCAATTGGGAGTGATTAGAATATACACAGAATGAAGACAAATGAAAGCGAAGATGGAAGACATGGAAAATGTGCACTTCTTAAAAGACTGCAGCAAAAAGGTGAATTTCATGGATGCTTCCTTACTGAAATCTCATGATTCTATGAAACTTACCATCATCTCCCCTAGAAGACTGATGTCCATTCTGCCTCCTGTCTCTGTGAACAGCACCATTATCCTGGTTGTTCAGGCTTGAGGAATGGACTCAGCCCCTACACCGATATCCATCCAGACACTGTCTTGGGTATTCCATTGAACGACTCCAATATCCACTCCTTTCCTTATTCCTGTGTCCATGTCTAAAATGAATTCTCATAATTTGTCTAGGCTCTCTTATCAGTCTCCTACGTAGCGTACCTAATCAATGCCACTTCAGTTTAGTTAGAGGGCTGTTAGGCTCCCAAGTCCACTGCAAAACTTACTTACATATGTTTTTTCATTTGTAAAATGGGGACAATACCTCTTTCCTTTGAAGTGCTATTATAAGGAATGAGACATTTTTGTAAAGCCCTTAGCACACTGTGTTAGGTAAGAATCTTGATTTTTTATAACTTGATTATAAACCTTTTGAAGCTTGGGACCAGATCATTTATACTACTGAATCCTACATACACTTACAAAACATACTGAATACATATTTATTGAAGTTTGATGAAGGCCAAAACAAGAGGACATTCTATTTTATAACACAACACTCCACACTTCATTTAAAAGTTTTGAGAATTCAAAATAAGCTTGATAAGCCACTAATAAAAAGCAGTTGGTAAATAATCAATGTGGTATTGTAATCAAGAAATTAACACACAAACACCTGAAGATGGCAATGTTTTTCCTTCCCCACAGCTGCCCTTAGAAACATCCAGCAACACAAAGTGAAATAAGCAAAGCTCGGCCCAGCTGTTGTTTCAGCCTTACCACATTTCCAGTTTGGGTTGGACTGCCTTTGGCTCAGGAGATCCTACTGGCTTTGGGGAGCTCAGAAAGGCCAAAATGGAGCCTATAGGAAGAGGAAAAAAGAGAGCTGGCTACTAAGGGCTTGCCCTAGGCACAAAGGATATTATTTTTAAGTGTCAATATTTTCTAACTAATGCTGGAAAATGTATTCTGGCAGTGGGCTACTTCACAGCGCAAATAAAACTATATAAAAAAATAATTGGGATGTCTACATATAGGTGTTTGTGGAACATATCAGGTATACATGAAACTGAGGAAGCCCAGAGAAATCTCTAATTACCTCCAAATCAGTTAGCCCAGCTCACCAGGGTCAGAAGTGCCCAGGGTCTCAGTTCAGACACCTGCACAGAGGTAAGTCGTGCATGTTCTTGGAATATACAGACAGCTCTTCTCATACCATATGTTTGGAGTATAAATTAGTATATCCACTTGGAAAGGCGATATGAAGCAAGAACTACAAAATGTTCATATCCTTGACCCAGAAATTCACTGCTAGGAATTTTTCCTAAGGAAAAAATTATGCACAAAGACACTCAACTGTAACATGAGATGCAAGCTAAAAGGTCCAATGGGGAAAAGTGATATGAATCATGGCACACTCAATTGAGTATCATGCAATTAATCAAGGTTGACGTAGCTTTTAATGACATGGAATAGCATCTTCAGATTGAGAATAAAACCAAGACACGAATTATACTGAGAATGAATAAAACTATGTAAAAACAAGCACAAAGGAACAAAGAGACTGGCAAGAAATATGCAAAAATTAACTAAAGTGCTTTCTCCCTACCCCAGGTGACAGAATTACTTTGCTGTATTGTCTAAATTTTCCATAATGAGAATGTATTACTGTGTTAAATGAAACAAAAACATTATTGAATCAGGCAAGCAAGCATTAAAGAAGAATGGGCATTTTTATATAGCTTTATTTGTTTCTGCTGGGAACTAGAGTGTGGTTCCTAGCAACAACAATAAAAAATGCTTACAAAACCAGTCATTTATTTGACAGTAGCATCAGATTCTTAAAAAAGCAGAGAAATTCTTAGTCTTTTCCACAAGTTTCACCATATTTCTGTAAAACTGTAGCAAAAAGATGGTGAATCAGAATCAGATTAAATCATAATCTACATGACTGAGCTCCCACATCACATGGATCCAGGGCCACTAAATACAATGTCAAACCCAAGTTTAAATGGCACACTGCTCTACATTTTTCATGATGAAAAAAACGAGAAAAATAAAAGTACTTAAAAAAATTAAATGCTTTTTGACCAACTGGAGGCTAGAAATGCACAGATATCTGGGACTTAAACTAATGCTTTGCAAAAATCGACTTTAAAAAGACACAATGTAACTAATAAAGACTTTATTGGCAGAAGGAAAAGACAATTAATCACTAAGTCATAGGTGTCCAGGATTGGTCTGAAGGCAGAATGCCTGAAAGGTCTGAATCTCAAGGTCAGAACAGTCTCTGGGGAACACTTCACCTAAAGTGCAACATCTTATCTTTCTTCAAATTCCTTAAGATTCTACCCTAGGGAAATTTGTTTTATATCAAGAGTTATAATTGACTTAATTCACAATTTCTACTCAGGGTATTTTCAGTCTAGCGTTCCTGAAACACATTAGATAAATGCCACATAGCCTAAATTTACCTCTACTGTTTCACTGGGCCTTTATAGTTGTCCTAGGACCAATGCCAGGTATTTATACCTTCTGGGCAGAAATGGAAGTAAACTCCTAAAGTGGCTTCACCTAATGGTCAGAAAGTTAGTGAATGTAAGCAGACCTTAGGTGTGAGGCTATACTCTGCACTCAGTACACTGTCAGGAGTTACCAAAGCAAGAAAAGCCCTTAACATTTCTATGGGGATAAAGATAACAGTAACAGGTGGCAGGTGTGTCCCTCCATTAAGAGCCTCCAAACTGCAGATCCTTTCCATATACAGCACACTCTACATAATCACCAGCTCGGTGAAATCTAAGCAACAGTTAAGATGACCTCCTCTGAAACTGCATTACACTTGGTTAAACCAAAAGTCTGGGCTAGCAAAATCGACTGCTAAAAACTGAGGGTCCTGGTAAGAATATTTAGTGACCATACTGTGAGTGAGAAAAGGATAATGGCTTAATAACCATGCAGTTATCATAAGGCCAAAGGCATAAAGGAAAGTGCTCACTTTCAAAGATACATAGACAAAACCCCAATTTTAAGATTATAAACTTAAAAGTGATTTTTAAAAATGTTAAGTCGCCTGCATGAGATAAATTAAAAATGTATATGTAATTTCATTGGAAAGCACCAAAAATGAACACTAAAACTGTTCACATAAAATATCAAAAAGGAAACAAATCACAGCTACAAAAGCAGAGGTATCCATTACAAGAACCAAGTAAATAAACTAATTCCTATTAATATTTTCATTTACTTTATAAAAACTCTGTTGGTTAAATTGGGGAGGGGAATTCTCTGAAAATCTAAAGGGTAACAAAATGATAACAAACATACTTCATTTCTTTATTAACATATTATACCACACAAATCAGCTTACTTTTTCTATCTGATTACAGAGTTAACAGAAATTACATCTGTATTTAAAGCAGCAATATAAAATTTTACCATGACGAAATTCTGTATCTGGACCAAAGGACTGTAACATGAATTAGTACTCTAATGACAAGATAGGACTGGCAACTATGGTGCAACTACTGCAAGTTTATTAGGTAAGGGGACTTTGCAGTCAAAGCGATGATATAGAAAATCACATGAACTTAAATCAGTACAAAAGGTACACACAGGCCATGAAAACTTGAGAAGGTGTAAAAACCAAGCACGTAACAAGTCAGCTCCCTGGAGTTGTAAGGGCCCTGAAGTAATGCGTCTCTATTTTAACTGAAATTGATAGTCTTCATGTGGGCACTTCAGCCTGAGAATCAGTTAGGTTAGTCGTTTTACAAAAAGGGCTTTATCTTTGAAGTAGAAACAGATTAGGGAGAGAAAGCTAAGCATTGGGAAAGTATTAACTCCTTGAGAACTCGAAAATTATTTAGGAACCCAAATGAATAATAAGAAAATACAGAATTCGGATGAAAATGTTTCTCTATGGGTAAACTCAGTTTCTTGAGGAATTTAAAAATCAAATGCACACTGTAAGACAGTGGTTTTCAAAGTGGGGTTCAGGCTCATCCTCCTAACTGCTTCTTAAATTCAAACATTTCTAATTCTGTTTTGTCTTTCATCATTTCAGGAAAGATTTCCCTTTTGAAAAAGAAAAAGGAAATCTGATGCCATCCCTATCTCTTGCTATTTGCTTCCCCCCCCCCCCAACATAATCAGAGCTCTAAAATGTATTTTTTGGTCAGCGTTAGGAAAATCTGAAAAGTTTCAACAAAGATTTGAATATTATTCTATATTCAAGAAAGTAAATGGCAAAAGCAGTACTTAGAAATAAGTAAAATTTTGTTATTCCCACCTCCCCTAGATCTGTTCGTCCACTGCCTCCAAACTCTCAATATTTCTGGATGGTATGAACATAATTCTCACAAACATTCCAGCCACCTTTCTCCAAAAACATTTCCTTCAATGGCTGCATAGAATTTCTTTTTTGAGAAGGCAAGCCCAAAATTTATAGAAATCTCCAGAACAAAAACGTTCAATTATCAAAAAATAACACACATTGTATCAGGGTGGATTTTGCGTAGTGTTCTTCAACATACTCGCTAATACAGAGCAGCCAAATCCTAGAGCTTCTCTCTGCATTCAGTAGCAAACAATATCAAAGTGTAAATGACAACCAAGAAAAAAAATGAGTAACACAAAGGCCATTGTTCTTTGATGGAATCAGGAAGAAAACTGGAACTGCAGAAGAAAAGTGGAACCCAAGCTTTGGCCACTTACCAAGACTTCATCAGTTCAACGAAAGAACAAATCTCCATGTTTAGGGACTCATTTGGCAAGCTTAATTTCTTTCCACATATTTCTCCTTCACATCATGTTAAACAAATGTTGCTGTCATTTCAGAACCATTGATTACATCTTTTTTTTAATTAGAAAAAAGTTTACTTGAACATTTACATAATTTTATTGCTGTTTATTACAACAAAAAAAAAAGTTTAACTGATTTGTAGAATCCATCCAGTAAATTGGAATCCACCTCCCAAGAAGATACAGTTATGGCTGAATGCATCTGATGCTGAGAATACATCATGAGTAAGAAAAGTCTTCTGTGTCATTTGGTTCTTGCTGCAGTCATCTGTGTTTACCTCTCAGAAAGCAAAAGAATCCATTTGACATTTTAATAAATATCAAAGTAATTGTTATCAAAAAAATAGTTTCCACGGACCAGAGATCCAAGAAAGAGCAGTTTTGATGAATGATTCCTAGAATCGAGTGAGTCCTCCTTCAGTCCAATGAGATGATGTCAGGAATGTTACTTCCACTGCTGGTTATGACCCCTGTCTCACTCCTGTTGCTGGATGAACTAACATGAGTACTGCTTTCATGGGGGCTGGTGGTGGTGACAGACGTACTGCTTGCTGTTAAGGGCGAGGTGAGACTATCCAAAAACATAGGAGGACAGTACTGCTTGAAACAAACAATGATGCCGATGAGGAAGAGGCTACATTGATTTTAAATAAAGAGACTAGAAATTGTTAGATATGCACAAGTGAGAGCCACAATTATTTAAATCCTAATGGGATTTAAAATTTTGTCAAATCTTCCCGTCTTTCGATGGAAGGTGGCATGAATTTAGCTATTTTACATTACTCAGTGAATGTAGCATATTCTTGATTCTCTCAAAACTTGTAGAATTTCTTTGTTGACCAAATATATAGGTACAGTTACAAAAATGTCAACAGTGTTTAATAGTACATATGTGCTCCACAATCATGACTCATAATTAACCTCAAAAAGGTTCTGCTCACTAAATGTATTTATACCAGCTTTAAATCACATTGCGAAAGGCTAGTAAATACTTATTTTTAATGGTATTGAACAAAATGCCAATGCAAAATTCAAGAATTCTTTCAAAATTTAGTATCAATCCGGCCATTTAGGAATGATGCTAAATAGTGGCATTTGACTCCTTTGTACATACATGTAACAATACCTGTGTAATTCCAAGGCATCGTTCATCCTAATATAGGCGCATGATAGCTAACTACCACGTGATGCTCGTAACAGAGAATTATCTCACATAATCACAAATTTTCAAAATAAATCTCAAAGCAGATCTAATTTAATCTTCTTGATACCACTCTACAAGAGTTCATATTTTGTTTCCTTACCAGCTCATTTGCTGACTCCTAAACAAATTCAAACTTTAGTTTAATACTCTAGTACTGACCAAGAGGGAGAGAGACAGACAATAGCTAAAAGCTTTATTTTATATAACTGTAGACTATTTTATGTAAAAAACTGCACTGACTTAGTAAAATAAGTGAGGTTGAGTGTATACAAGCGATGTCCTAAGTTTATCTTCAGATTGTATGAAAGATGATCAGTAAGGAAATCTGATCAATATTATCAATTCTAGAGTTAGCTATAATTAGAGACACTAAGTTACAGAACAGGAAATTTAAAACTGAGGTTGTTTAGACTACATGATCTTCAAAAAGATATGGGAATGGCAGCCCCAGGTTTCAGCTGCTAGTCAGTGGGAGAAAAACTAAAATTCAGGCTGCCTTTCAAAAAAGTAATTTAATGTTTAGTATGAATAACTGTCTTGGTTCAGCAATAAAATGAATGCCATGGGAAACCAGTTAAGAGGAAAAATGAATAGTTCTTAAAGAGTTCTAAAAATAGTTTAACTCTTAGGTAGTAAACTTTTCTAAAAGCAAATCAATTTCCTACTTTCCACCACAATTGCAGAAAGAAGCTGAAAAAAAGCCAGACACTTAAATTTTATTTCTCCTACTTCTCAGGCAAATTTGACTGCCTAGTAGTAAGAATGTACTCTTCATTTTTAAAATGAATGCTACTATAGTACTGCCTTGTTACTATAGGCTCTATGCCCTGAATTTTGATAATACTCAGGTTGAAGCTATTTACCTCTAACTCTGTATCCTTTATGTGTATTGGAAACATCTGCACAAGTATAAGAAATCTAATGAGTCTTAAGAAAAACTGAAGGCACAATCTCACCCTTCTATTGGCTTATCAATTAGGTTAGCCTGACACTAAGCACGCCAAATAACACTATGAATCAGAATCCTCTAGGTTCCAAGATAATTTCTTTTAAGGATGGTTCACATAACATCAGTAATATCTTAAGTCTGAAGAATCCATTTCCTAGAATACATACTTTTGCCATAGATGGAATCCACTGATTTCACAAAGTCAACTTAGGGTGAAAAGAAATTCTTCATTCTATGCATGTTAACTTGGGCTCTAATTTCTGATTTTGGCCCTGGCTGGTGTGACCCAGTGGACTGAGTTCCGGCCTGCAGACCCAAAGGTTGCTGGTTCAATTCCCAGTGAGGGCACATGCCTGGGTTGCAGGCCAGGTCCCCAGCTGGGAGTATGCGGGAGGCAACCAATCTATGTTTCTGTCACACATCGATGTTTCTCTCCTTCCTTACCCTCTCTAAAAATAAATAAATAAAAATCTTTAAAAAAAAAAAAGAAAAAGTCCGGTTTTGCCTGTGTGATCAGATACAAAGTAGTCAAATAGGAGGCCATGCGAGACCTGTAGTTAGCAGAATCTGAGCAACCTAGGAAGCGGTGGTCCATGTTCTTTCTCTATTCCCTCCCTACTATCAACACATCTCTCAAAGCCTCTCTTGATTTCACTTTCCCCTTTGGCTTTTCCCATGCCTTTTCCTCCTCTGTTCTGATCTGCTATGTCAGCGAAGTCCATGCTCACTGCAAGGTCTTTTTGTTGGGATTCTAGGATACTAGAATTCGTTATCTCTGACAGAAAGCAGGAGCAACTGATTTATAGCAACTTGAGGTTAGAGCATCCCCAAAGTCTGCATCTGATTGCCTTTATAAACAAGGAAGAATCAAGATAATGATTCAAGTCAGTTTAGTCAGCTTTAGCTATTTTCTCTGTATAGAAAGAGTGTTTCACAATTTCTGTAAAGGTTTATCTTCTCATTGTTTGACACTGCTTTCCCTCATCTGAACCACTCAAATGCTTATAATAACTGCCAAATAATAATAAACTGAATAAAATATAATTAAAAATTCAAATATTAAGGCCAAAACATCATAAATTGAAAAACAGCAACTTTATTTATCCAAATAAAATCGTGAAATATTTATATAGTACTTTCCATCAATTTAAGTAACTGAGAGATGACTGTCCTGATTTTATGCAACTGGTCATTTTTAGTTAGTATGATATAAGCAACAATCAAGTACAAATTAGTTGCTTAAATTCAGGATACATACCTGGGGATCAACTGGAATAAGGGAAAGAAAATCCAAACCTAAAACAAAAATGCTTTGTTAATAGTTGTCTCATATTTTGGAGACAGTAATTATTTCCCAAAATCATTTTATATTTATCATAAATCATAAAACATTTGGGGTAAGTGCTTACCATCTATAACAGGAAAGTTCTATACCAGAAGCTCTAATATTCAATGTGTACAAAACCCCAAAATGAACATACTGTATTATGCTGTGTATAATGCATACTTTTTGCCCAAACTTTTGAGGGAAAAATAAGGATGCACATTATACATGGGTAGTACCTGAAATACCTTGTATCTGCTCTTGTGTTTTATAATTATTTGTTACATAAAATTTCTTGTACCATATGTTCAAAAATAAATGTGAAAACTCCTTTCAAATACAAAACACAAGTATCTAAATATAAATGAATAAAATATTGAATTAAAACCTTAAAACAAAAATTTTTTCCTGAAAGTTTGGGCCAAATACTTGGGTGTGCATTATACATGGCAAAATACGGAATTCCCTGACAAAACATCTGGAAAAATCACTTCCCAGAGACGGGAGGAGTCTCTTAAAGGTAGGAGTCCAAAAATTTCCAGAGAAGTAGGACTAGTCAAAGCAAGCATTTCTTCCCTTCATCACTTGACAAAATGAGAAGCAATAAAAATGATGAGATAGCAATCTGGATATGAACCATTTAAAAAAAATAATACTTAAGATCCTTCACATCTTTTTTTTAGAAACACACCACACTGAGCTTCATCTAAAATACTACTTCTTAAACAGATGTCTATTTCAGGAAATGTTCTCTTTCCCCTTGTACCCACAAGAGCAGTACACAGTTCCATGCTCTACACAAAGCAAGCACTTGGTTCATTTCTGTTCACTAACAAGCCAAATCTTATCAAGGCTTTACTGGGTTATAAGCCAATGCTGTTTTCTAAACTAAAGATGTGAGAGTCTCCAATTAAGCTTCAGAAATAGGAATGAGGAAAAGGTTGCCCACTAGTACCATTTTGAAGCATTAGAGTTATAACAATATATAATCAAAAAACTTCAGGTGTGAAAAGTCTAGCAGTAAACTTCCAAGTCACTTCCTTTAGACATTTGACTAAATTTCAAAATATAAAATAAAACAAAAAAACATACTAAGTATAGGTCACTAAGGTCAATTTCTATTCAATTCTATAGATTTTTATTTGTTGGTGTTCAATGTCACCTTAAATAAAAATCATACAGAGTAAAAGTCTGATATGGGACTATTACTCAAAATAGAGTATTAGTAGGAGTGGTACTTAAAACATTTAATAGCCAAAAGGAATAATTTATAACTAAAAATTCTGAATTATACTTAAGTCCTTTATAATCTCTACTAGGGTTGATAAGATTATCTAGTGATAGGAAGCTGTGGCACCAATCATTGGAGGAAAAAAATCATTCCATTTCTAAAGCATGTAAAAAAATATTGATGTGATTTTTTATTTTGTATGTCTGTTATTATATGATACAGCAGGGTTTGAGCCAACAGTGGACAAAGGGAATCACAACAGACTTTTCCAACAACTTCCCCATTAAATGGGCAATCAGTAGGCGATGTTACCTCCATAAGCAGAGTTTCTTTTCACATTAATGATCTTGTTCAGTAAATCCTTTCTCTGCTTCTGCTGAACATTAATTCAAAATTTGTCTAATGCTTGTAATATCTCCTGGAAGTTTTATATAGTCAACATCTCCATTATTGATTAAGTCACAAAGATACTTTATTGGCATTATCATTTAATTAATTGGCTTTCATTTTATTTTGCTTCTAATGGTGTAATATTTTTCTTTTTATAACTTCTGCTTTTACAGTTTATTTAATTTTACATGTTCAATTATTTTTAATGTTTGTTGAATCACTCAGTCCACTAGAATAACAAACTTTTTTTCTAAAGCTAAGAAAGTACTGCTTTCTCTGTTGGAATATCTGTACTGAAGCCAAGTCACTCAAAAATACTTATTTTCTAAATGTTTAACTATTCCCACTTCATAACTTCCATTTAAATCAAAACACAGGCTTGATGTAATTTTTCAAACTGTTTTTGCAGCTCTAGCACTGAAGGCTGCCCACTGAAATGCAAAAACTTCCTATTTTCATTTTTTCAATTCCCAGCTCTTCAGACCTACTATAATTCTTTATAATTTAATATGTGTGCGCGCGCGCGCGCACACACACACACACACACACACACACACACCCCCATTAATTTAACAGATTTACTTCATCTGTATCTTTTGATTCCTCATCCAGGAGGGATCACTAAAAATGGTGACTTATACAATGCATAGTAAAACACCTAGACATATTTCTAAAATCCTGCTTGAAATTCTAGGCTCTCTCTCCAGCATTACACGAATGCTATCTATACAAAATTCAAAAATGTTCTAATGTAAATATTTCTCACTGAAACCATTTTTTCTCAAACACTATCACTAAAATTTGATATACTATTTCAGATATTATTCCTTCTAATAAACTTCATTATCAAAGTCCTGCAGTTTACATTTTAAGTAGTTTATTAAAACTCATATAGTTGAAGTTCCATGAAGAGTGATTGTTACTTGTCTTATAAGTTTAGCAAAAATGCTGTTTTTCTATTTCACCATAAGTTTCAAATGCAACAGTAGTTTATATTGATAAATATTTATGTCCCTCTAAGTATTTCATGGTTGAAAATGCACTCAATTATTTTTAACTAAAAAGAAGATAGTGTTAAAAACTCTGATGGTACATTCTAAATGTTTGTTCTATTAACATTGATAAAATTGTAGCTTTTAGATTTGAAATGTCTTTAAGTGAACCTGACTCTACATGCCTTATTAATAACACATTTTCCTTACCTGAGCCATGAACTTACAAAACATGATTGCTACATAATTAAATTGGTAAGTGGTTAGCACTTTCAAATTTCAATGACACAACTTTTGAGCACCATTCACACCTGACAATATGTCACTAGTAATAATAAGGCAGTCATATTTTTTTCTTGAAATAATCAAGCTGTTTTCCATTCCATAAATACAAATTATGTTTTATTTTGAATTCAATGTTGCACAGTATCAGAAGACGTTCCAAGCTGCAGTTCATTATTAATATCATTTCTTCTTTGTTCCCCTGCAGATTCAGAAGATTCATGTTTATGATGTTTAAAAAGAATGTTAAGAAATGTATTAAAACTCTGTCATCTCTCCATTCATGGTGTTCTATTTATTATTTTATTATAAATTATTAAATTTATAAATATCAACTCTGTATGACTACATAAAAATTATGCACAAAAATAAAACCAAATTACTAATTACAAAAGAGCACATTAACAATAAAACCAAGGTAAAAACTAAGCTATTTGGATGTAATAACTGCCACATGATTCACAGATGACGATAAACTGACAACTCTTGTAAAGTACAATAGATTCTTTTCTATTCAGTTTATCAGTAGGTAGAAAGCATTTCAATATTTTAATAACCAGTATCACCGTATTGGTTTATATTGGCTAAATACCAACCCCAAATATTAGTCTTAGTTCCCTAATACCAGGGTTGAAGTGCATTCTACACAATATACAATTTATTTTACTGCATTTTTCTTCAAATGTGTACATTTTATAATCTCAATGTATGCCCAAATTTTGAAAACCTGTAAATTCTCTAAAGTTAAAAATTCATCCAGAATCATATAATTTGAAAACTAACAGCAGATTGTTTGTAAATGGTGTCTATTATCCTGTTAAATGGCCAGGGTCACTTTAGTAAATGGAGCATTTATCATCTTTTTTCAGGGTCAATTTTTAATTCTAAGTCTTTAGGAAACAAATCCTTCTGGAATGTTGTTCATAACATATACTAGGATGACATGTGGACACTCTTCAACTTCATTTAAAATCAACCAAGGTTAAGGAAAAATATGGCAGTTAGGAAGTAAGAGTCTCCAAGTTTCCGTCTTTCTTATGGACCATAAAACCTCACCTATCTATTACCTTAGCATCAAGCTTTGTATACAACAAATACTTTTCAACTGGTGATAACTGGATTTACGATGAATTTTTTTTTTTAAATACCAATGCCCAAAGTACATGTGGACATATTTAAGAAGCAAAAGGTACTTAAAATTTTTTGATGGATACTATTTGTAGTCTCTTCTTTTCCATTACATTTTATTTGAATTGGTCCAGATAACATAACTATCAACTATTTCAAACACCACAAATTTTTCCCAATATATATTGTTCTTAAAATAAAAACCTAAGAAGAATAAGGAGAATAAGTCATAGGTCAAAATTAACTTCACAGAATCTAGAAAATTAATAACCTAGGGAAAGAATTACATTACATTGCTAAAAGTGCCCTTCAGAGAGAAATGAAGTCATGAATATTAAGAGGCACTGGTTCTAACTTACTCACATTTGACAGACAAAAAATGTCAGCAAAAACAATAGCTACAGAGAGGTAAGAAGAATTGGGGGGTGGGGGCGTGTTAAATTTATAATATGGCCTGGGTTGCACAAGTTTTGGTATTAAGGTAATTCAAGCAGCCTTGAATATTTTAAATGTTGAGTTAATGTATATATAAAATATATCCCCAAATATTAAGCAGTGCTCTAGGGAAACAGCTGGTAGATACTATTTTTACAGGGGGAAAAATCCATGGGGTAAAGCTGTAGGCAATACTCACCCCACAGAAGATGTGATAGGCTACCAAGAAGGGTATGAGAAAATAACTCTCCCTAACCTGTGAAGCTTGCATAATAAATAAACCAAGAAAAAGCCTCCAAGTACAAACTCTCCAAAGGGGAAATAAATTTTATAAAAATTGACTACTATCCTACTAGATTTTCTATCATGAGGGACCTATAGACTGCTCTTTAGTTAAAATGACAGGAACTGGCTGTGATATTAAAACATATTAAAACAGATGCTACCTTTACATGAAGCTTTCAAATTTCTTTAGCATTTCTATTTAAAATTGTAGAACTCTATTTGCTCCACAGATTAAGATTAAAAATGATAAAAGTTGATTAAAAAACACAAAACAAAATAAAATAACCACATACCTGGCAAATCTGATGACATGCTTGATATTGGCGTGTGGTGGAATGGTACTGAGTAGTCTGTTAATGAAGGCGGAATAGCAGCAGGATCAACCGAAGTCACACTGGGCACCCTTACAGAAGATGGCTGATACATGAGAACCCTGTTTTAAATAGCACGGGAAATTACAATCTGGCTATTAGTTCACAAGAGAGAAGGGCTGTACTACCGGGCTTTCTCAGTGGTTAAGTTCACTAAGTCTCAGCACAACTACATGGCAGCTACTGACTACACAGCACTCCACTCTCCTCTTTCGTTAATAGTCTTCACTTTAAAATGAACATACGTGGGCTCTCAACAGCAGCTGTGATATAAGAGCAAGTCAGCATTAAAATAGAGTGTACAGTGCTGGAGTGACAGATAAAATATTCATCTACAAATAGAAATATACTTTGAATATGCTGTTATTAATGTGTGTAACATATGTAGATATTAGTTGTTTTATCTATAATAAATTTTAGAAATAAAACAGAGGACTCCTAAGATTTGATTTAATCTTCATCAGGGCAACTTCATGAGTGAAGCTACTTACTATATAGCTCAACCACAATTTCATCCATTCTAACTTGAACTGTGTTAATTATTACCACTCTTACCTGGGAATCACCTCAGCAGAAAAAGCCAATTCTAAAGCCTGACAACTTGATGAAAATAGGCAGTAAACAGAAATTAAAATAAGATGACTACTCAGGATTTAAGATATAATATCCAGAAATAAAATGTTGGCCACCATGATGGCCATCTATGTTGGCCATCTACTATTCTAAGAGAGTTTATGACTTTAAAATTAAACATATTTTAAGAAACACTTTACAAATGGTATTTTGTATAATACTATAATTATAACTTTATAATTTCAAGAAGCACTATAATTAAACATTTTTTTTCAAGTTCAGAAATAAAAAGTGACAATTTTGCCTTTTTCCTAGTTAACCTTCATTTTGTCTTTGCTCAGGGCAAACAATTAGCTGCTCTCTAAGTTTCGTGACGCCACCCATGGATGACAAGATAGGCGCCATTAGCCAAAAGAGATGAAGACCCAGTGACCACAAAGAACTGGTCCAAAGGCTAAGTTTGGGACAAGCATAATAACCTATTCTTGTTTGATTAAGCCACATACGACAAACTCTGCAAGAAGTTCCCAACTATAAACTTATGTAACAGCAGCTGTTCTGTCTGAGACCCTGAAGATTCATTTCCTTGGCCAGGGCAGCCCTTCAGGAGCTCCTCAATAAAGGACCTTTTAAACTGGTTTCAAAGTACAACATTCAAGTAATTTACACTGGAAGTACCATGGATGGGGATGCCCCAGCTGCTAGTAAAGATTCATAAACAGATCCCACCTACTGTACATTTTGAAAAATAAAACTTTATTAAATAAGGGGGATGGGCCTGGGGACATGTGAACATTAGGTTAGCATCTCTTAGCGCTGCCAGAAAACTATAAGCTTTGAGAGGCTCTGAATTCTATAGTTGAGAGGGACCACAACAAAGATGAAGAAAGTAAAATTAAGAGAAACTTAAAAGTAGGACCATGATCACAAAGCAAGACTGAGATGACAACAGGGACCTCTAGATGTCCTTTCTGTTGGTTGAAATACTTCCTGTTATTGCCCAGATTATTAAATATTAGTTAAGAGTAAATAAAGACATAATTGCATGACACTCTTCGTACCCTACAAACAACTAACAACTATTTCATAACTTCAATTTAAATCTCAAACCACTTAAATTATCAAAACCTATTTAGACACTGGAATCCTTCTATAACTAATTTGCATTCTGACAGGAGGATCATGTCTAGCTATTATTCTGCAGTATATCAAAAATATAGGTGCCACTAGGAAATGTGCAAAATGAAGTCATCCTGAAAGTATATATGAGATTGTGCTGGCAACCTAGTCTCAAAAAAAAAAAAAAAAAAAAAAAAAAAAGAATTGAATAAACAGCATAGGTCAGAATTCAGAAATCTTAAAAACAGACCCATTTAGGAGACATAGGAAATATACTATGCTTGAGACAAAACGCTTGGTATTTCAGAAGCATATTGCAGAGGGAGGTGAAGATGGAAGGAAGTAATTTTTCAAAGAGCATCCCCTTAGCTTAAAATCAGAAGGTTTCTTGGCCTCCAATGATATCTGGAGACTTAACATCACAAGCAGGTGGTGGAAAATGTTGGAAAAGGCAGACTATGGAGGGATAAAGAGAGAACTTGGGATTAGAGCAAATAAATTATATTGTATTAAAGCACATATTTTCTGGAGGTTTGAAAAAAGTAATGCTCTACAGGAATGAGATTTTCTATAGGAAATTGCCAAAAGTGGATTTCAAATTATACATAATCCTATTTCCCACACTGGAATGCCTATCAGAAATTGTGGGAGGGGGCAGAGGAGATGAGAAGAGAGTTTGGTATGTTAGTGCTGAGTAGAGAAGTTTAGAAAGTGCCTTTGATTATTCTGGCTGCCTCACAGAATTAATATCTTAATTGTAGTTTAAAAATATTTAAGAGGCAAGTTTTTGAAGACATATATATACACACAGGGTAGGGCAAAAGTTGGTTTACAGTTATTGGTATGGAAAATAATACAATAATAAATAAGAATAAACTCTTTTGCATACTCACAACTGTAAACCTACTTTTGCCCCACTTTGTATATATACAAACACAATACACATACACACTTTACATATGCACACATATATGATTTCATTTGTTTTAAAAAGTTCCTATTAAAAGTACATTTTAAACTATTACTTTTCTCTGACATGGAAAGAAAAGGAAAGAAAATGCTCAGGGTTTATAAGGAAAAAAACATGCCCGCCTTCCTCTGTTCCCATTTCTCTTCTTTTAATATATCACACTGGAGATTTTCTTTTGTTTTCATCCCAAATTGACTGTTCAACTTGGATCAGATTTACCAGAAACAACAACAACTCACTCTCCTCCCCCGACCCTTGTATCTGTGCAGGTTTTCTTTTGTTTTCATCCCAAATTGACTGTTCAACTTGGATCAGATTTACCAGAAACAACAACAACTCACTCTCCTCCCCCGACCCTTGTATCTGTGCAGGTTTCAGATCAGCACACTGTCACCGCAGCCACATAATTACTGTACACGTTCTGTTCTCGTAACATGAAACTTTACTTTAAATGATGAACTTTCCTTGTTTCTGCAATACAAAATGTCGACTGCGACAGCCATGTGAAAATGTCAAAATCCAATGAGGGTAGAAATGATTAAATCAACACGGTAAATGTCAACAAACATCTGAAAAACTAAATTTACTATAGGGTAATTCCTATTACCGGAACTTCACAATTATTAACACAAATTAAACTTTACATAGAATGGGTGAAATTAGTCATTTGTTAGGATTATCAAATTATGTACTAATACATTTTTGTTTTAATCAAATCCTCATAAGGACCATATTCAGAAAGGTGAATGATTCTAATGCCTATGCAAATCCCCCCACCCATTTATAGATATGTAATAACAGAATTTGGAGAACTGTAAACAGCTTTGCCCGGGGAAACTGTGAATACAGAAGTGTGATGCTATAAAATAATAAATATTTTTTAAAAGCTTTTACCATTTGTTAGTGCCTCCTCATAGAATTGGCAAATACACAGGCATATGTATAGATACATTATCAATGTGTACATATATACTTTAAATTTTATAGTTTTATGCACATATCACAGCACAAACATAAATTGCTAGAATGCTGCTAGACAGCCAATGTTAGTACTCAAGACTGTGTATTGAATTTATCATACTTAGTCCAAGCTTAAACATCTAAAAATGGGTTAACAATTCAAAAATTTATGGAATTGTTATCCATAAGCCTGAAATTCACTACATGCTCCCTCCCACTTTATGATCATAAAAAAATTTAAAAAGACCCCTGATCAGGTGGCTCAGTTTGGAACATCATCCCGTACCAGGCGTGTTCAACCCCGTGGGCAGCATGCAGCCCAGCATGGCTATGAATGCAGCCCAACACAAAACTGTAAATTTATTTAAAACCCTTTTTTGGGTTTTTTTGCTCAATTTTCTTTATCGTTTGTATATTTAATGTGTGGCCCCAGACAACTCTTGTTCTTTCCGTGTGGCCCAGAGACCCTGAAAGGTTGGACATCCCTGCACCAAAAGGTTGTGGGCTCATTTCTGGGTCAGGGCACATACCTAGGTTACAGGTTCAATCCTTGGTCAAGGTACATACAGGAGGCAATGAGTTGCTGTTTCTCTCTCTCTCTCAAATCAACAAACACATCTTTGGATGAGGATTAAAAATATATATATACACATATATATATTGAATTCTGCGACCAATTCCTAATGATCTTTAATCCACAGAAATACATATTTGTTTTTATTCTTTGTTTCCTGTCTTTAGAATACTTCCATATTAATGACAAAGTAACATTAAATTTCCAGGAAATAAGGAAGGCGCTTAATATTTAAAATTACCTCCTAATGTAGAAAAATACCAGAGATTTTCTAAAAAGTCTTAAATTAAGGTGCTGGTTTATTCTGACAGAAACTACATGACTGCATTTAAGGACTATAGTAGGTATGCAAGTAAAGAGGTTAGAAAGATTACCATCAAAATGTTAACAGTGGTTACCTCTAGGCAGAATGTTTTTTACTTTTGGTACTCTGTAAAACTGTTTATAATTTTTACCAAAACAATACCTCTTAAAAATAACTGCTCATAAAATTTCTAGACTATAACTTAAAATTAGTTTTCCTGGTTTTTCATTCTCCATTCTTTCTGGTTTGCTTACTTACTATCATTGACCAGGAAGTTCTGTGATTAACTTACACAGCAGAGGAAAACCATAAAACTTCTAGATGCTGAGCTACAAAACAGGATATGAAAAGAATGATTAGGAATAAAAGTATTAAGAATTGAAAAGGATTAGAGATGATATAACCACAGCATGAGTCTCCACTATGACACTGGGACAGGTGGCACCCACTTCAGCGTAACATAGAACAGTGATTTTAGCACAAAACACCAACTATCTTGGTGTTCAGAAAGCTCCAGTTTTCCCATGTATCTTTCCTCCACTGGACTCTGATCTACCACATGTTATGACAAAGAATAAACTTAATCCAGTTAATCAATGTCTCCCATTTAAGAACTACAAGAAAGCTCTCAAATAGTCTCTTCTCCTGGTTTAATGGTTCAGTCCTTAGACCCATTCATCCATCACGCTATAATTCCACTTTTCACCACCCAGTTCCCCAACTCTGACTACTCTCATTTGTTAATACCCTTCCTGATGATCAACACTGACTAAAACGGTGTTAAGTGAAAGTCATCAAATCTAAAATTCAACAAAACTGGCATGTATGTGTATCCTCGACACTATACATCTTTTATTAATGCAGCCTAAGGACAAACCAGCTTAAGTGGAGATGCTTTCAAACCGTTAAGTGAATTCTGACATTTCAAAAAGTATCTATCAAGAATGGCTATTAATTTACTGAATGCCTTTCCAGAATCTATTAAAATGACTATATAATCACCAGAGGAAAAAGGGTTAGGGGAGACGTAAAAGAGAGTACAGAGGCGATAAATGGTGATGGAAGGAAACTTGACTTTGGGTGGTAGATATACAGATGATGTATTATAGAACCATACCCCTGAAACCTATAATTTTATTAATCAATGTCATCCAAAAAACCTCAATTTAAAAAAGTAAAAAATAAACAGAAATGACTATATAGTCATCTTTACGACAAAATCCATTTTATCAGCATAATTCTGAATAATTAAGCATTCTTGGATAAACCTTACTTAGTGGTAATGGATATCATTTTACTATATAATTAAATGAGTTCCAAAAACTGAATTAAAATTTTTCATTGATCTCCTAATGTGAGCCTGTTTCATAAGAGTTTTTCTGCATGGCTGTTAATGTGTAAATCTAGTTTGAGTTCTCTGAGTTATACTGACTTCATCGAATGAGATGGGTAGTTGCAATTTTTGTGTGTTGCTGGTTTAGTCACAAATTTCCAGCTTATATTTACAATATTAGTTTTCGTTTTCTTTAACCTACATGAGGAGCCTTACATCTATTTCTATGGTAGCTGACCATGGGAGTGAACTATCCTTATTCCTCTGAAACCATTTCATATTGTTCCCCAATGTATACCCCATTCCTCCAGATTCGTCCTTATCAAATACTGGTAAAAATGTGCTAAAGGAGCCCTGGCTGGTGTGGCTCAGTGGAGCAAGTGCCAGCCTGCTAACCAAAGAGCTGCAGCTTCGATTTCCAGTCAGGGCACACGCCTGGGTTGAGGGCCAGGTCCCCGGTAGGGGATGCGTGAGAGGCGACCACACACTGATGTTTCTCTCCTTCTCCCTCCCTTCCTGCCTCTCTAAAAATAAATAAAATCTTAAAAAAAAAAAAAAAAAAGATAAAAATTTTTAAAAACTGTGGTAAAGGACAGACAGATAGAAGACCCTTATATGGCATGCCTCCAAAGACAACCTCCAAAACCACATCAATTCATAAATCATCATCGTGTACAACCTTTCAACCTGGCATGAATCCATCTAACTATAATACTGTGACACCTGTGTCTTTTCAGCAGATTCTAAAGGATATCATTAGAAAGTAAATTATGTAAATACCACATCTAAGTAAGTATTCATTCTCATGATTTTCCACTCCAGTAAATGTTTCAGAATTTTATTTTTTTATTTAACATTTAAATTATAGAAGTGCCTAAAAGGAGAAATGATCAGCATTCTAGAAAAAACTCACTTGAAATATTCTTCTTACTTTCTGTTCCACTTAAAAAAAAAAAAAAAAAAAAAACAAACAATAAAACTTGCATCCTGATTAAATGGGTAAAAAAAAAATTCCCTTACTGCAGTGTGTAAATCATATCTAGAAACAGAACTCTTTCTAACAGTGAAGAAAGCAGCACGAAAGCTTTAATTCTCCTGGTTACAGAAGTAAATATAAGACAAGAATGTTGCAAAAGTACACTGAGAATACAATTCCATTGATATTAAAAGGTCTAGAATAGGCAAATTCGTAGAGATGAAAAGAAGATAAATAGTTGTCTAGATGTGGGGTGTAAGTGGGGATTAACTGCAAATGCACGAGAGAAGTTTACTGAGTGTTGCAAATACTCTACAATTTAATTGTGATAATGACTGTATAACTCTATGAAGTTACTAACAGTGCAACTGAATCTTTAAGATGGAAGAATTTTGTTATGTAATAAATTAGACCTCAAAAAGCCATTAGAATAAGTGCACTGAGAGGCCAAAAAGAAAACACTGGCACACCCCAGTTTGAAAGAATGTGTCATGCGACGTCAAGAGAACCCTCTCCACTTTCTTGCAGGTTTCAAAATCTTTAGGAAATACCTATTGCTAAATACTGAAACTTGTCACTTATTATAGGTCAGTAGTGGCTTCTGCCAGATGAATCATAAACAATACATACTAGAAGGCATTCAACTTGCCCATATTTTGCCCTGGTGAGGATGAAAAGGGAAGGCAATCTTTATTGAAAAGCTGCCATATGCCTATCACTGGGGCTAAGCTCTTTCGTTGTTACTGAAACAACAATAATCTCATGAGGTAGGCATTTTTTAACCCCATTTTACAGAACAGAAAAAGGAAGCTCAAGCAAGTTAAGTATTTCATCCAACATGACAGTAAGAGTAAGCAATGTATCAAAATTGGAATCCACACCTGGTGTATTCCTAATTCCACACTCCATTACATGAGGCTTCCTCCTTCTGGTCTGTGACAGCAAATTCGCTGCTTATATGAATTACTTACACATGAGAAGACTTCAACTCTCACTTTCCAGAGATGGGAATACTTCTTCACCAAAATATGGGACATATTTCAAATGAATTGAAGGCAAATTAAAATAGCCTTCTATGATTATGCTACTCTCAAAGAGATATTTAGAAATCTATCCCAATAACAGTTAGTTTTAAGTGTACTATAAATAAATAGTGAACTATAAATTAACAAACCCTTTGGTTGGGCTGCTTTGTGTTTCTGACATAAAGATGCACTTCCTTTTGGCAGGAGGGTCTTCCTCTTCATCAGAAGAACTTTCTATTGTTAGGTCAATAACATCCACTTTCTTCTTGCTTGCCTCGTTGGCTACAGTCACTGAACAAGGCTTACTGAGGACACTTGGACCTGCATGTATAGGGAACAGAAAAAAAAGGAAAAAACTCAAAGGTGTGACATAGACTCTGGCCACAGGAGTCTTAACTGTGTAGCATGTCTGGGAGAACACACAGCCAATAAAACCACATACTTGTCCTACGGAAAGAGACCAATTCCCTAACTCCAGACATCTCTCTGTAAAATGACTACTAACCTGAGGAGACAGGATGCGCTCTATGCCTTGACAGAGGGCCAAAAGCCTCCTTCAAACATGCTCTTAGTTATTTCCCTGGTACTACCAATGGTTTGCTCATATCCTGCTGCTCACTCTGTCTCTGCAAGTAAGCAGTCATTCTATAGCCAGACATCTACAATTAGGGGGCTGATTTCCAGCCATGAAGAACACATTATTTGCCTGACTGAGTATTCAGGCATGCGGTAGGCGGTGTTCAGTCATAATCAGATACTTCCACTCTAGAAAAACAATGGTGCTCATGTCAAAGAATGTATATATAGGCTCTTCACCATGAGCCAGAACTTGATAAAAATTTTCACCTTGAAAAAAACTCCAAACTTCTTATTTGTTATTCAGATACTTAAAACTTTTCTTATCAATTATCTACTAATCACCTAGGTTCTTCTCTGCCCACTATGATAGTACATTGTATATTAACTCACCATTTCATGGAAAGTATATTATGCCCTGAAATCTATTTAGTAGCAAGTAAATGCTAGTTGATAATAGAAAAGCAGCAGCAACTAATCAACTAAATCACTATTTTTCTCAGAGATGAGGGAAACCTTGATCTTTCCACCCGTAGGTTCCATAATAATCACAGAATGATAAATATTGACATTAATCCTTTGCTTTTTCCTCCCTTCTTACTCCATTATCCATTACATTGTTACAACATCAAATTTGGAATCCACACCTGGTGGATTCCAGTCAGAGCACAACTCAAATTCAGTGAGTATGGCAGATAAAAGAAACTTTTAAGTTCACACATGGGTTTCAAACATTCAAACTGCCCTTAGTTTCCCTACTCACTGTGGACCAGTGAGGGAGCTGGAGGCTGAATACACATCCTAAGTAACCAAGGTAATGGTAAAATGTCTTCCCACTTTTGTCAGCAACTAACCTGTGACCACCTGCCCCTACCCTCCATTAATGGATGAAGTAACCTCCCCAGCCACACTGCTACCTGGGGTTCCCTCAACAGGCACTCTAAAAACAATTCTGAAAAACTGTTCATAGACATGTCATTTATAACAATTTTGTTACAAACACCATATATTAAAACAGTTTTAGATTATTTCATTTACTTTTATATGAAAAATATTTATAAAAAGGCTGATTATAAGACAGCATAAACTTTGGCACATTTCTTAAGAATGTAAATTAGTTAGGGGAAACTACACATGTAATAGATAACCAAAAGATAAAGTCAGCAAACTGAGCTCCAAATGTAGTTCTAGTGGCCAATGTTAACAATAAAGATAATGCTGCAGGAGTTTTACTGCATTGCTCCCTGGTGCCATTCTGTACATACTTTCTATTTTTGTACATGGCTGGCTGGATACTTTCATAGCCTCTTTCTTCGGCCTCATTGGACACCAAGAGCCATCTTCTTGGAATTTGATCTCATCCACATCAGAACAATCATTGAGAATTTCCATAAAAAGCCTATAAACCAATCAAGTACACAAATGCAATCAGTGACTTTTTCAAAGGGGAAATTGTAAGAAAGAAATACTTATTACCTCAGAGACAAAAGTAATACTATCTGACTTTAGTTTGTTTTCTTTTGGTATTTTAATACTTCAGACTTTAACACAAGTATTATACCGCCTTTCCCCTAGATTTTAGATCTTTAATGGGCAATAAAAAAAGTTAAGTGACTTACTGGGTCATCTAAAAAAGTTATTTGCTAAACAGAAATAAGACACCAGGAGCCTCCTAACTGAGATTGGCAGTAAAGAACAACCTTCAACACAACACATAAAATACACATAAGCAAACAAAAAGGTTATACAAAAAATAATCTGTAAGCTTATTATCAAGGAAAAAGTATCACAGGGGTGGGGAATGAAAGAAGGAAGAGAGAGATGTCTCAATAAATTTAAAATAACTCAGCATACAAGTTATATACAGTGTTTCTTGTATCTTCATCAATAAATGTCTCTGTTTTTCATTATTACATGGCTGGATACCTTCTGGACAGACCTCATATAATAAGAGGGAATGTTATAAAACAAATGTGGCAGAATGTTAACAACTGACCATCTCAGTCAAAGTTACATGGGAGACTGTGCTCAGCTGCAACTTCTCTGTAAGTTCAAAATCATTTCTAAATAAGGTTAAAAAGATTTAAAAAGTAAAAATCCAGTAAAGTTAAAGTTTACATTGAGAAAAGTGACTCATTCACTCTTGATTGCTTCATTCCTCTTATGTAATACTCTTTTAAAACTTAACAAAAAATTGTATCTTTAATAAAGATCCAGGATATAGTTCACTCTATATTGAGTGAAAATCATATGTACATACATACTATGTAAAGTATGATTTCAATCTTTTTAATACATCAGTAACAAAAATCATCACCATAGGATGGAATGCTAATGATTTTAACACTTTTGGGACATAACGGATACGTGCAACTTTTTATAAAGTTATTAAAAAAAGGGTATCTCACTTATTAATAGTTATTTATATCATTTTCCTTAATTCTGAGACATGTAGTATGGTATGAAAGATAATGCTAAGAGTTTGGACTTCAGAGTCTGAAAAACCTGGGTATGAATCCCAGTTTTGAACTTACCAGCTATGTAACATAACTCTCTCTACCCTATAGCCTGCTCTGTCTGCATTTTTGCAAAAACCCTAGTTGCTCTTCACAAAATTCTAGGTAAGCAAAATGACATCACGAAGCAGACCATCACCTCTTTCGTACAAGCTATGAAATATGATCTTGGGAAGCAAAAAGAAAATTACTCTTCCTCTTGCCCCCAACAGAAATTATAGAGATAAAAGTTCCGCTAGCCACAGTTTAAAACTAAGATTGAATATAATTAAGTACAAAGCAGGAAACACATAAACATCTGGACTTTATGCTACAGGAGAATTTATGAGAGTCTGTACTAAAGGGGGACAAAGATAGAATTTATGTTGACACACACTCACCCATCTAAAATTAGACTTTCATAGGCAGCTTTCTTGTCACACACAGGACAAATCCAGGTGGGCTTCTTCTCATTCATTTGCAAATAAAGAGCAGCATCAAAACATTGTAGATGTGTACAAGTCACTGCTCGGCACGGGATTGTCAGCCTCATTTTCCCTAACTACAGGCAGGAAAGAACACATGGGAAACCATTTCAGAAAGGAAAACAAAACCTCAAAGGGAAGAGTCAGTCAAAAAAGTCTGAAGAAGTCATACAAGAAGATCAAAATGAAAAAAATTCAAACCAGAATTTATTTCCATCAAGATTATTGTATATTTTATTAGTATTCACTGGTTGCCCTGTAATTTTTAAAGGATAATTTCACTTTTTTGAAAATAGGTAACAAGTAAATTCACAGGGAGGAAAAGATCTATATACAAGGAAAACATGTTTCTTACTTGTTCTCCTATTTAGAAAAGAGAACCACTGCGATCCATCTCTTTCATAGATATTCTACCCATAATCAAGCGTGTGTTTTAAAAAACATTTTCACACGAATGGCAGCATGTAACACACATAATTCTGAACCTTTCATCAATATAACTTGGTATTTGTTTCACATATATCAGTACAAAAAAAGCTACTACCATATGAAGATACAATAACTGATATGAAGTATATGCTATGAAAGACCAGAACATATGCTTGAAGCCTTGCACAAAGCTTACGAGCACAGAAGGCCCTGGGCCCTGACACACGTCCTATGGGGCCTCTGCACCCGCCTCCGGGCATTAATGTCATCCCTTGTGGCAACTATACCTTTCTGGGTTTTACAACTATAGGTTCTCAGTTTCTAAGGAATCCCAATTTCATGTAATTCTATCCCTTTTCAACAAAGATAACTTAGTTTAAGTTAATGATTAAAGAAAAAAAAGCTTTGGAAGAAAGATATATGCAAACATTGTTTTTCAGGATGGTCAAAAGGTGGACTTATAATCAGGTATTTTTATGTTGGCCAATGGGGCAATATGGTATATTGTTAAGAGAACTGGAATGTTGCCAGAAGACCAAAATTTTTATCCTTGTTCTACTAGTTATTACTGTGCAATTTGGGTTAGCGAATCTTTTAGTGGCAGTTTCCTCATCTGCAAAATGAAAACAACTCCCATACAGGTTTTGCTAAAGCAGTTAAATAGAAGCACCTTATAGGAACTTGACGAATTATTCCTTTCTCTTTCTCTCTGAAACAATTCTTTCTCCAATTAAAAAAAATGTACAGGGTGGGGCAAAAGTAGGTTTACAGTTGTTTGTACGGAAAATAATACATTAATAATAAAAGAATAAACTCTGTGTTTCGCATACTCACAACTATAAACGTACTTTTGCCCCGACCCTGTACATCTCTCACAATGGCGACTGGTCACCAAATGCCGCCCCACTACATTATAAATTCCTGATTCCAGATAAAGTTCCTTTCATATAGAAGGGTCTCCTCCAACAGTACTGATTTTAAAGAAGTCCTCATCCACTATTCCTGACCTTTCCCATCTCTCCTTTCATAATCCAATAGCGCAACTATATGTGGTAAGTACAGTTTTCTGCCTTTTCATGTGAGTTGGTTTTCTCTCTCAAACAGACTATTAACTTTCTAAAAACTTTTAATCAAGTCTTCAGTATTTTCTCCCTCAATTAGCTCAGTACCAAGCACATAGGAGGGCCTAAACTGCTGACTGATTCTACCCATAGTCTCTATGTTAGGAGATATAAAATAAAAATTATTGTGCAACTTAGAAGTACATTACAAATGATTAAGACATCTATTGTCCTGACTGATGTGGCTCACTGGGTTGGGTATCATCCTGCAAACCAAAAAGTCACTTGCCAGTTCGGTTCAATTCCCTGGCCAGGGCACATACCTGGGTTGTGGGCCAGGTCCCCAGGCATCCAATCAATGTTTCTTTCATACATGAATGTTTCTCTCCCTCTTCCACCCTCCCTTCCCCTTTCTTTAAAAATAAATAAATAAAATCTTAAAAAGAAAAAAAATCTCACACATTCTACCTCATTAAAGCAGAACCATCAATTAACATTTTATAAGGTCATAGCAATTTTATTTTGATAAAATGAGCAACTTTCTCTATATGCTTATTATTAGCTGCGGATTATCTACAGCGCTAACTGTAACAGATTGTTCTCAGTGTAAAGCTCTCTTCCCTCTTCAATATTACTGGGTTGGCCAAAAAGTCTGTTTAGTTTTTTCTATAAAATAAAAGACACATTTTTAATTTTCACTAATAACTTTATTGATTTGGAGATTCTGAATATGTCAGCCATCTCCCCCATGGTCTATAATGTTGATGGCTCTCAATTAATGTCTCAATTTGATCGCTATCAACTTCAACTGGTCTGCTCAACCATGGAGAAATCATCCAGTGAGAAATCTCCAGCAGGAAACTTTGCAGACCACTTTTGACATGCTTGATCAGCCACAGCACCTTCTCCATACAATGCACAAATCTTTCTTTGTGTTTCAGTTGCATTTTTACCTTTCTTCAAATTATAAAGCATAACATGCCAAAAATGTTGTGTATTTTCTTCTGTCAATATTAATATGGCTACACAAAAATTCACCAATTTTGGTAAGTTTTTAAAAAAAGCACACTGATATGACAGCTGTCACAACACAATCTAACAAAATTGTTTCAAATGATGTTAAAGACAACTAAGTGTTACTAGAACCATCTTATTAGAAAAAAACAAACAAATTTTTGGCCAACCCAATAATATCCTTTCAGGACTCCTCTTGGTTATTAGTCTGAGGAATGTCTGCATACTCTGGAATTATAATGTTTAATCGTGAAGATTCCTGAGTGGAAAAATGACAAAAGTAAAGAATTCTACCAGTCATTACCACACTTACTTTTAAAAGAAAAGTATCAAGTTATAAAAATTAAAGCACCCTACAATGCTTTGTTGCTCTACTTACAGGGCACATCAAGGATACCCGAAGGCTAGTTGTAGCAATTTCACTATCAGGATCAGCAGTAAGTTTTTCTTTAACTTTAAAAAGAAGGAAAAATAATAATAAACATTTTAAAAATTGTGATGTATGTACAGAATTATAGAAATATCTATCATCTTATTTAAAGTTTCTCAAACACTTTGAATAGTCAAGAAATTTAAAAAAATAAAACAAATAACCAAAATATTAAGTATCAATGTAATAAAAACACAATCATACTTCCACTATTAGGTTAAAGAATTCCAAACCTGCAAAACTCTATACCACAAGTTTAATTGAAATTTTAAATAAAATTGCAGGTAAGAAGAGTTTCAAAACAGAAAGCTATTTAAGATTTAAGAACAAAACAATTAGGAAAAGAACTTGGAAAGCACCAGTTACTCTAAGCTTCAATGCTGTTTTAACACAATTCCATGACCATTTTTATTAGGGAGTATTGGTTGGTTCCAACAATTACTGAATTTGTAAACAGAAAGGTAAAATATTCTTATACTTCCCTTTTGACAACTGAAAAATACTACAGATATGATAATGTGCCTGCAATTTCATTCATGAGGTAATGTATACCAGTTACTGCATATAGAAACAAGTAAGTATATGCACTGCCTTCAGATGCCTAGTTCTCAAAACTATTACAGGGAGAAAGGGACTGGACTGGATACAGTGGAACTGGATGGGGCAAGAAAAACTAGGAGCGAGCTTCCCTAACTTCCAGAGCTTCCAGGTCTAGGCAAGATGATCAGTATTGTGCTATCTGAGAGATGAGAAATGGTCTTAGTTAAGTAAAACAAAATACCATTTCAAAAGCTCTACTTGGCTCCCTTTTCAATCTTTTCTCCTTTCTGGTTCATTCAGTGATTTGGGAGGTAATCAGGGGAAAAATAGTCTCTTTCCCAGAAACATGTCTTGTTCAACTAAATAAAGTTACTGAATTATTTACAGTTTGGGTTGGACTTTTTTCTCTACCTATTATTATATATTATAAAAGAACAAAATAAAACACCTCAGAAGGCAAATATAATTGTCAGTTAATATCAACCTTTAGCAAAAAAAAAAAAAAAAAGCTTTTCATTATTTAGAATTTTTTAAAATGTACATTCCATTCAACATTGGAGGTTTTCAAATGTTGCATTCCTACTCTCAAGCCAACACATACATCAACACTACCATAAACCTGATGCTTATTTAATTAAGTTTTCATGAGAAGGCCCAAAATCAGACTAGCTGGGTTCTGAAAGTGATCCTCTTGGGAGTAGTTTCTAAGAGAAGGGTTTTTCCAATGTATAGGGCTGTGTTCTTAGAATACTTTTAATTCAATATTCATTTTAGGTTTCTAATAATTTTTCCTATATTATTCCTATATTGATATATATGTGAGGCTCCCCCCCGCCCCCGCCCCATTAAAGCATCTCATATGCTCAATCTTACAAACATTACTTACTTAGTGCTCTGGAATGATCAGGGTTTCTAATACCTTTCATTTTTAATCTCTGTAATAACATGGCTGATGTGAGCTGTCGTACAAGATATACAGACATGGAGTAATTCTACAAAGAAAGATAATCTGTATTAAAGACGGAGATAATAGTCTCTTTATTTACATAAAATACTTGTCTAAGAACTTCTGGTTTCTAAAAATAACATTCAAAGTAAGTTTGACAAGGTCAATGACTGCTAAGGGAACAAAATCAACACAGCTCCTTTAAGAAAGATAAAAGCTCAATCATATTAAAGGTATTTCTCAGTCACTTATCACTTTAAAACATCCATGTGAAAGATAACATAGCTTACATCAGTTGCTTTCAAACTGTTTCTAATTAAGCAAAACTGGTACCTTAGGGACCATCATGGTATGAATGAGAATGTACCTACCCCTCCCATGCCAACTTCTGATTAAACTGTTTTTATGTGATGAGCTTTCACAATATTTTCATTGACAAATAGGTTCTACTGTAGAAAGTTCAAACATCAGTGGTCTGAATTAACAATTCAAATCTAGAGTTTCAAAGTTCTAATTCTGGCGTAAGAGACCACTTGCTTCATGGCCTTCAGCAATCACTTAAATAAACCCCAAATCAACTTTTTTCCGAGAGAAACTGAGAAATTGACTCTGTTTTGACATGGACATTTTACTAGGAAAGGAGCACCTAGTGGAGTATGTAAGACATGAGAAAAAATGATAAAAATTAAAAAGACAAGGCCATAATGCCATAGCATCCAGGGTTCCATACCTCTTAGATCTGACAAAAGGAACCTTCATTAGCTATTTATAGAGCTATAAAGGAGTGAAGTATAATTTTATTACCAAAATGCTAAAATCTTACCATTACATTAAACATACAAATCCAATCAATTCAACAATAAGCAGACCCTGGCTGGGTAGCTCAGTTGGTTAGAGCATTGTCCCCATACATGAAGGTTGTGGGTTTGATCCCCAGCCAGGGCACACACAAGTATCAACCAATGAATGTATAAATAACTGGAATAACAAATTGATGTTTCTCTCTCTCTCTAAAAATCAATAAATTTTAAAAAATTCAAAGTGGGGAAGGATTGAGGGTGGAAGGTGAGGGTGGGCGGGGCAAGGGAAAGTGGTGGCACGAAAATGGAGACAAATGTATTTGAACAATTAAAAAAATTTTTCTAATATTTTTAAAAACTCTACAATAAACAAAATACTTTTAGTAGTTGCCAAACGAATTATTTTAAATATTATTTTTAATGTCCTGAAACAGTTTTTTAAAACATCTGAATACCCAAATTAGTGTGCGAATTTTAAGTCAATTAATTATTTTAATTACAAGGTAAAATACTATTCCCATTACGTGGCAAAAAGAAAAAAGCTACCAGCTCTTCAATGTCTACAATTACTTATTCAAAACTCAGAAAGTTAATAATCATTTCAAAAAAATAAATTGTTCTGTTCAAATTCCTCTAAGCTTTAAAGCATCAATCCTTGCTCATTTAATGTCCCTTACCTTTGTATACAAAACCCATTCTCAAGATTTTACTTATTCTTTATAGCAAATAAGCCTCATGGAATTGAGCTACTTTGCCAAAATCAAACAATGACCAACTTGGCACTAAGCCAAGATTTTCTGAACCTTTATCCAATGCTTTACCACTGCACATTCAGTTCATGCAAATGAAAAATATTAGAAATCAGTGCCCTATGATAATACTGGTAAGTTACAGTAAAAATTCAGAAATGAGAGCTCAAAAGAACGATCATTAAAAAGACAGTAATATCTTTATAGTCCAAGAATTAATATAAAAATGCTGTTCTTTATGTCTAGCTCTGCAATGACCTTGGTTATAAAACCAAAAAATTTTTGCTACAAACATGACTCAACTTCTCTACCCATAAAATGGAAAATGGTATCCTTTTCCCTTATAAAATAGCAATATTCAAGTTTATGTTCAGAAATGAGCTGAAATTTTTTGTTATTCTGTTATTTTAGTTATATGAACAAGCAGATCTTTTTTTTCTTTTTGGTTCTTTTTGTTTTTTATATAATCTTTATAGTATTTTTTTCCACTACCATTAGTTCCCTTATACCCCTTTCCCCCAGCAAATGAACAAGTAGTTCTAATACAAAAATCCCTTGTTGCAGGAATCAGTACCTCATAACTGAGATAATGCATTTTAAGACTAAGAATCAGCAGAAAACCAGTTCATCAACCTAAAGGTATAGAGGAAATGAAATAATTCTAAGTAAATATTTTCATGAGATGCCCACATGTTGTATTGGCTGAGGTATTGGCTGTTTATATAAAGGCTGGAACAGATTACTTCTCATGACAACATGAGTAAACGTGACTATTTTCCCAAAAGCTAAATAAAGCTTTTTTTCTCTTCATAAATATGTAATATCACCCCTAAGTTTCCAGCTTCTTAACACAGTATTTAAATACAATTATGATTAAACCATTCATTACCTTAAGCAATATTATAATTATACTTATTTCCCAAGAAAGCCAAGAGATGACAGTCAGGAAACCTTAAAGTTTTTAACCTTAAGAATAACTACACCTCTACCTCTGAATTGGAAATTATTGCTTTTTAGAAATTCCAGTCAGAAAATGAATAAGCTGGAGCTAGTAGCATAAGAAAACACAAAATAAATCGGCTCCTAGTGGGATTGGTTTCATGCTGCCCAGAGGAGAGAATCTTTACCTTTCCAATTTCTGATGCCCAGGAAATAGAAATCTGATTTGGCACAGCTGAAGATAACCTAACTAAAGACGTAATATTCAAAGGGCGTCCAGGGCGCTTCTGTTCAATCCCATTTTTGGGTGGTGGTGCATAGCCCTATAACCATAAGAAAGAAATTAAATTTAATTCTCTGTAGGCAATTAAGTATTTTCTCCAAGATAGATACAGGATGATCTTGCCTAATTTCAGTTACACTGATTATTTTTATTTTATACTGGAAATCACAGAGTCTCACTCAAAGGTCATCAATCCAAAAGAGGAAAATGACCTTTTTAAAACATTATTAAAATATTTCACAAGGTCAGAAAAGTACCCACCCCCACCCCCAAAATCCATGTTCCACCATTAAAATTAAAGATGCTGACATTTTGTCAAGATGGGCTATGAATCTTTTTTTTCTCTTTACAAACGATAAAGCTGCGCCTCTTTGTTCTGCCTCATCTTAGGAACTTCCATTTAAAATGCATTCAAATACTGGGGTTTGGGAAGAGGAATTTCAAAGGAATTATTAAAATCTTGTGAGTGATGCCCTGGCCAGCATGGCTCAGTTGGCTGGAGTGTCGTCTTGTAAACTTAAGGGTCACAGGTTCGATTCCCAGTCACAGCATGTGCCTAGGCTGTGGTTTTGATCCCCGGTCAGGGCACCTATGAGAGGCAACTGACTGATGTTTCTCTCCTTCTCTCTCTCCCCTTCCCTTCCCTTCTCTCTAAAATCAATAAGCATGTCCTTGGGTGAGAAATAAAAAAATTCTTAGTAATAATTGGTATTCAATTAACTTGATTGCTATAATACTGCTATTTATGCTTTATCCTTTTATAATCATTAAGGATTTGCTTTAAACAGCAAATGTACTCACTTTTGATTTATAGTACATCCAATTTTCAATTACCACCAGACTTTTCAGTATGTGATTTTCAAAACCAAAATAATGTACTTTTTAGAAAATTTAAATTCTAAGATGCAAAAATATCTACGTATTGAAAAGCAGGTATCATATTTTACTAAATAAGATGCTACTGATGTAATTTAACTGTGCACCAATGAGAAGGAAAAAACACTAATTTAATGATACAACTGAGTGTATCATTACTTATTTCTGCATAGATAGCAAGGAAATATAAACGGAATGAAAATATATTGAATCTTTTGTATATCCATAAGAATCTTCCAAATTACTTTTCATTTAGCCATCAGTGGATATGTTTCCACACAGTACTCTCCTATATGCTACCACAAGCTCTGGAAATAAAAGTATTCTATATATTTTATTTCAATATAAAATTATACTCTACCTCCACCAACATCTCTCAGATTTCCTTGCAAGTCACTGACACTGTTTCATTAACTGCATGTGTTAATGCAGATACACTCTGGATCTTTGAGAACATACCAATCCATGGTTTCCCAACAACACCCTGGATTCATGAAACTTCCCTAAAATGTACTTAAATCATTTCTTGACTGAAAAACTGAGGGAGTGCAGCTAAACAGTTATACCATGGAAGTAACATCAAGGTTGTACAAGTGCAGGCAATGACAGCACATTACAGCTGCCACCTGGTCATCAGCAACTGTTAACTCTGGATTTAGGTATGTTAAAAATATGCACCTTAGAAAAAAATGAAATATCATGTTGGTGGTATTACACAGCAGGGCTAAAGAATATATTCTATCACAAGTGAGAACGTTCTTCACTGCTTCACAGGAGATAGGATAGTAATCACTAAGTGAAAATTTACATGATAACTTGTAATCTACAACTTTGCGAAAATACTTTAAATATCATTAAAAACAGTTTGTGAGGGGGAATAGAAGACAAAGAAAAGAACTCAACTTCCATTAGACCATGGAAAAGGGAAATGTGTGTGGAGGAGGGTTATGCTCATCTAAGGTTTTTCAAGAAAATAAAACAAATCATTTAAAAAGTCCTCTTACAAAGGCTCTAGAAAACAGTTGAATGAGCAACAGGTAGGGGGAATATCAACACCAAAGTCTGGGTAAATTTTAATAAAGCCTTTGTTTTACCTTAATTTGGCCTGAAAGATAATTCTGTCTTCCAGTATGTCCACTGGTAGGTTAACCAAATGAAAACAATGGCACAGGGTGTGCCAAGAGGGTAAAAACTCATGAACGAGCTTAAACAGTGAACTCTGAAAACTGGAATTTGAGACAGCAAGCAACAATGTTTGACAGAGAAAGAGCACAACAATAGGAGGCAGGAGAATAACAACAACTATAAGAATGAGGTGTTAGTAGATTCAAAGTCAAGTATGGTACTACTCTTAATCATCTCGAGTATTTCTTTAAATTGTTGACACTATTATAGACACCCCCCTCTTCCTCCCTTTCCCCCGCTCCAGCCTTCACCACATTATCATCTGTGTCCATGGGCTGTGCATATATGTTCTTTGGCTAATCTCTTCCAGCACTCCCCCTCCATTCTAAGATCTTTCAGTCTCTTCCATGCATCCATGCCTCTGATTTTACATTGTTCATTGGTTCATTCTGTTCCTTAGATTCCACATATGTATGAGATCATATGGTATTTGTCTTTCTCTGACTGGCTTATTTCACTTAGCATAATAATCTCCAGGTCCATCCATGCTGTCACAAAGGGCTTAAGAGTTCCTTCTTTTTGAACTAATTCTCTATCCCACTTGACTAGTTTGATTTCATTGGTAATTCTGAGTTATCTGTCAACTTGTATGCTCCCTCTGATTATCTGCATCACTCCCATTACCTAGTTATTAAGCATAGGACAGAGTTGGAATTTCGTAAAATATAAATATTTAACCACACGTTTCTAACAATTTTCCGTATCTTAAACGAAAATAAAATGAAGTACATTTGACAGGGGGTCTCTGGAGCAAATACAAAAGCCTTCTAACTAAAGGCACCTGAAGAGCCAGTGAAACAAAGATACATTCAAAGCTTTTCTGTTACACTCAAAAAAGCTATGACACCATCCTATCTTACTTGTAAATTTGACAAAAGTGACCACTACTACTTTAATACTACCAACACAGATTCACTTTTTTACCTTGTATTATAAAAACTTTCATATATAACAGTAGAGAGAACATTAAGTACCCACCGAGCTTCAATAATTATCAACCTGCTAATAATTGTGTTTTGTTCACTTCTGGCCCCACCATCAGCTCACACCAAAACACACACCTCACATATATACACTTTTAGTTTTGCTCCTGAGTACTTAAGTGCCAATTCTAGACATGCCATTTGACCCACAGATACCTTTATAGCATCTTTATTAGTACCTTTAAAAAAAAACAAACACAACCTTACAAAATTAACTGTAATTTTAAAAAATTTTCTAATTTACAGTTTATATTCCAATTTACCAACTGCCTCAGAGATGTCTTTTATCTTTTCACTACTGAAAATTTCCAACATACACAAAAAGAGAGAAAAGCATAATGAGCTCCCATATACCCAATCAATAATTTATTTACTCATAATTAGTCTTTACCTATCCTACCCCACCCTCAAGGTGAATAAAAAGCAACTTACAGGCAAAGGAAAAAGTTTCCCATTTACTTTTATACATAGACTATTGGGATAGTTATCTTCTTGAGGGCAACTTGTCTCTGCCAAGCAAAGTCTGCATTGAAGAAGAAAGAAAATATTCTTAAGTAGTATACACAAACATGCTTACACATTTACAAATTCCTGACAGTATGCACATAGTTATTAGCAAGTGTTATTAAAGCAACTGAAAATTTCAAACTCACCTCAGCTGAACTTGAACTGTATAATCCCTCCTACCACCTGGCAAAAAATCCCTGTTGAAAAGAGAAAGAATTTGGGTTAAGAAAGCACAATGAAAACTCAGTCACATTCCCGCCAGAAAAAAAGAAAGAAAAAACAAAAAACCAACATTAGTATTTTGATTCTCGTTTTTTAAAAGATGAACACTAGCATACCAATAGTACAAGACTTAAGTAAGACACTGTAGTGATGATAACCTTCATTTACTTAACCTTTAATCAAATCTTTATGGTAATTTTAGGGTATTTTTCACTTCACAGAAACTTTTACAATGCAGTATGTATCTCAACAGCAACAGTATTGGTAAACATAAAAAGGCACCCTCAAGGTTCTAAAAGAGGTTAATAAATTAGCTTGCTTATAGTGGTTCTTAACCTTAGCTAACAATTCTAATCACTTGCTCATTTTTTTTAATTTTTATTTTTAATATAAAGGCCCACTCACTAGACAGTCTTACTGGGCTGGGGGACAGTCTGAGCATTAGTAGTTTTTACAGGCACTCAGGTGAATCTAATATAGAACCAGGATAAAGAACTGGTGCTTCCAGTCTCAGTATCTCTACACCAGCAGTTTTCAACTGGGTGCCATAAGAAATTTTAAAACATGCAACACCTGACTGTTTAGTCAGACGCACTGATCTCTTTTCCCTTAGACTGTCAAATTAAAAAATGACAACAGCCACAATAGCCATCCAGTGTGAATGCCTGTCTTTAACCATAAATATATAGGTCATGAAATAAGAGTTGCATCTTACTGGTCATGTTGAATAAGAAGGTTGCATGTAATTGGTTAATTTTTGGTGCCAGAAAACCTTATATACAAGTACAGGCATCTGATGTTTTCAAAAGTCACTTTGGACCAAAAAAAGTACGTAATATATTATTTTTTGTAAATCAATCAAAATTATACCTACCTTTTTTTGGGTCAGATTGGCAAAAATATATTTTTTGGTGTGCTGCAGAATTTTAGTAATTAGTTTGTGTGCCATGAGATGAAAAAGGTTGAAAACTGCTACTCTATACCATGGCAAGTTGATAATTACATACCCAATTAAGGATACAGAACCTCTTAGAATTTCTACATGAGAACCTAATAGAGTCCCACATAAAATATCTTTGGTAGTGACACCTTCTAAATCCTTGCCACTCAAAATGAAATCCCCAGTGGAGCACTATTACTGTTTGGGAGCTTGCTAGAAATGGAGAATCTCAGGCCCCACTCCAGACCTCCAAAATAAAAATCTGCATTTTAACAAGAGCCCCAAGTGGCATGTATGAACCATTTAAGAAACATTGTCCTTAGCCATTATCATAAATCTTGGACTTTGTCAGAGAGCTTATCTTTAGAGATTAGTCCTTTCTTCATTCAGAGTACATTTAGCCCTCATCTTGCTCTAACTGGACCATTCTTCTCACTGTTTCCAGTTCTCTACGTTCACCAGAAGGCAGTAAAGCACAACAGGGACCAGCTTGAGTTCCACTGTCTCACACTGTGTGACCTTGGGCAGATTAACCTTTCTTTCTTTCTTTAAAAAAAAAAAAACACAACAATACTGATTTTTAGAGAGAGGGCACAGGTGAGAGGAAGAGAAGGAGAGAAACATCGAAGGGAGCAAGAAATATCAATCAGGTGCCTCTTGTAGGCACCCTGACCAGGCACTGAACCTGCAATCTAGGAAGGTGCCCTGACTAAGAAACAGACGACCTTTTGCTTTGCGGGACAATGCCCAGCCAACTGCACCACACTGGTCAGGGCTACTTAACCTTTCTGTTCCTCAGTTTTTACATCTGTTAAAGATGGAAAATTACTGCACCTACCTCATGAAGTTGCGATGATTAAATGTGTTAATAATCCACATAAAGTGCCTAAATATAAGAAGTGCTCAGCCTGTGTGAGCAGATGGCTCCTATCATTAACTCTGCTCTCTCTGTTTCCCTTGCCAGAGGTAGTCTCCACCCCTCTAAAACATCTATTCGAAACATCCCAATATCCTAGACAATACAGAGCTCTTGTCAGTAAACCCATTCTCATTCCACTCATTCAATTCAAGGAACATTTTAGACTGGGTGCTGGAACTACAAAGGTAAGACATTTTTGGTTTTGTGTCAGAAGTCTTATGTTGCCAGTAGTTAACAGATACACAGAACTAAAGTAAGATGTGCTAAGTACAACCAGAAATAATGAAAAATAAGTGCTGTAGAAAAAGAAAAATTTCATTGTCTCAAAAGTTCAAGGCAGTTATCACAATGTTCAGAAAATTAGAAAACAGGATTTGTACAGCAGTAGTTCCTTATTCCTACTTAAAAGTAGACACACACTTTCAATACTAACAGTGGCTTCACTAGTGCAGTGATTCTCATCCAAAGGCAAGGCTGAGGATCAACCAGAACTACACAGCAAAATCTCGGTAGGTTAGGGAACATAATTTGAAAAAAGAGAAATGGCAAAAAGAGGAACACATATAGAGAGAGAAGGAAGCATATTATAAATGGTTTTTAGTAGCTCATTAAGGATTTATACTTTGTTCTAGTAAGAGAAATTAACATAAAGTGGGCAATGGGCTAAGTATCTTCACAAACACTACTGAGTAATGACTACGCAACTTCTGACATTCATTTTCTGCCAGTTTCACAATTGTGGGAACTTTCACATGTTGATCTCATTTATCACATATAAAGTAAGCATTTACTATATGACAGGCACTGTGACAGGCTTTTGGAATATAAATATAACTAAGAGATGTTGCTTTCATTAAGTTTGTAAATGCAAGTAGTCAAATAAATGCAACGGTGTTTTCACTTAATACAGTACACAGTACAATGAGAGACAAAGGATGTGTTTGGGGAAATTGGGAAAGGTATCCATCCCAGAAGAGGTAAGACTGAAATTGGCCCTTAAAGCAGAGTAGGAAGGAAGAGAATATGCAAACAGCTGTGAAAGCCTAGTCAGAGTACAGGCTGCTAGAGAAGAGTGACTGGGGATGAGATGATAGAGAAGATGAGTAAATGCAAGATGGTGAAGAAATTGCCAAGTAATGAAGTGTGGACTTCATGAGAAATCACCAGAGGTTTTAAGCACAAAAGAGAAAAAATACTGAATAAGCTTTAGAAAAATCACATGGTCACCTGGGTGAGTTACGAGAGCATTACAATTGTATAGGCAAAAGATGAGGGCTTGAAAGCTCAGAAGTATCACTGAATGATACTTAGATATAGTAAATAATACAACTCAATGAATGACTGACTAGATACAAGAAAGTAAAATAAGGGAAATGGAGCATTTAGGAGCATCAGGTTTTGGAATGGTGCCACTGGACTGATGGTGATGCTACTCACCAGGATAAGAGATAGAGCAAGTTATGACATTCAATAAGTTGAGTGAGGTGGTGATTATTTTTCCAATTTTATATACAAGGTAAATAAAATTCAATGGGCTTACCCAGGGGCACACAGACCTAAGTGGTTGACTGAGAATTCACATTCTAGTTGGTATTAACTCTAAAGACCATGCCAGCTACCTCAAAGGTAGAGTTAAGTTTTACATTTAGAGTTGTGTTGTTTCAAATAAAACGATCAATGGAGTACAGCGAATTTACCTAAGTGGTAGATGAAGTGTGGGCTAATACAAAGAGGCCTCTGTCCAGGCAGATCCCATGCCATCAGTGAAACAGGCAATAGGAGAAATATCCCAAGCAAACATCTCCTTGAGGCAGTTTATTTTTCAACTGTGCACCCCTAATGCCTGGAACATTGTCTGGGCTATAGTAGACAGTAAATCAATATATGCTGTGAGACTACATGATAAATGGAAGAACAAAAGACAAACAAGCAAGTTTGGAAAGAAAGCAAGCACAATTCTGAATGTGCTTTGTTTGATGTGCCTGTGAGAAACCGGAGTACAGGGAGTGAGAAAGGTCTCCAGGGCGAGGTGCTGGGGGTTTTGCATACTCAGACACATTCAGAGTAGGGAAAAGAGAATCGCAAGAGAAGTCAGTGTGAGAGACTAAGATAGCATGATTAGAGGCAACGGAACCAAGTTGGGACGGGGTGGGAGAGAAGGGTGCTGAAACCATAAACAAAGTTAAACTCACCGATCAATCTTCACAAGACGTAATAAAAAGAACAGAACCCAAACTTGAATGTATTCAAGCCTCTTATTTAGATTTTACTATCATTAGAGGCCAAGGGGGAGAGCTGGATGCCAAGGCAATGGAAACACCTGGGGAGCTTTAAAAACTACTGTTGTTTGGGTTCTGTTCTCAGAGATTCTAATTTAATTGGTATGAATAAAACATGGCTATTTGGAGTCTTAAAAGCTCCCTAGTTGATTCTAATATGCAGCAAAGTTTGAGAACCTCAGAAATATAAGTTAAATGACACCACAAGAAGCCCAGTCATCCAAATCCAGAATACATGATATGCTATAGAGTCAAATGAACCACTTTTGTTGTTGCTGTTGTTTTGTTTGCAAGAAAGTGGAATAGGAAATACTGTAAGACAGAAACCAGAGCTCCTCGAAGAAGTGATTAAATCCAGAACTAGGAAAGAGAAATTACAAGATAAACTGGGAACATCTTTGTTATGCCAAAAAGTGATTTAGTGCTCAAAAATGGATGGAGACATAGCAAAAGGGCACAGGACCTTGACTGGTGTGGATCAGTTGGTCAAATGTCATCTCACAGAGCAGAAGATCCCTGGTTTGATCCCAGGTCACGGCACATGCCTGGCACGTGGTTCAGTCCCAAGTTGGGGTGTGGAGGAGAGGCAACCCAAATGATGTTTCTCCCTCACACCCATGTTTCTCGCACTCCCTTTCTTCCTCTCTCTCTCAAATAAATAAATAAAGATAGATAGATATAGATAATTTTTTTAAGGGCATTGGAGTCAATCTGAAAGAATGCCTAATGGCCAAAGGTAGAACAACAACACAACAGAAGTTACTATAGCATTGAATTATAACCCTTAAAGTACCCAAGAGACCATATGGATACAATAAATAAATGGGGGAAAAGATACTGCTCTTCCATACAAAATAATACCCATGTGAAAAATATTAAGGACAATGAAAAAAATCACACCACTAGACCACAAGAGTGTTCAGATAAAGTAATTGCTAAAGACAACATCCACAAGGCAACACAAACTGGTAGGCAAAAATCAAAAAGAACCAGTATGTGCTTAGTCTCCAAGTATCTCCCCCAAGATATTTTTTAAGAACAAAGGAAAAAACCAGCAATTTTAAAGCACAAAAATCTTATCCAATACCTTATCCAAGTGATCAAGGTTAACATTACCAAAATAAGATGTATCAATATTATGTAGCCAAATTATGACACACTGAGAAGGGACTATAACTTGGGGTATTCCTCCAAAAATGCCTAATCTCAACCTAATCATGACAACAAGGCAGACAAACCCAAATTGAGGGACATCTACAAATACCTAACTAGCACTCTTTCAAAAGTATCAACAGTTATGGAAGACAAGGAAAAACTAAGAAACTGTCACAGATTGAAAGAGACAAAAATGGCACAATTAAATGTGATTTAGGATCTTGGATTAAATCCAAGAACAGAAATTCAATGGCAGAAAAACTGGTACAATTTGAATAAAGCGTGTTGTTTAGTTAACAGTATTATACCCAGGTTAATTTCTTGGTTTCAATAATTACAGTGTGGTTATGCAAAATGTTAACATCAAGGAAAGCTAAATGAAGAGTATATCTACAGTTTTTACAAGTTTTCTGTAAATTTATTATTACTTCAAAATAAAAAAATCTTGAAAGTCCAAAATAACACATGGTCATGTTTAAATACTGAAACAAGTCAGAAAACCTGAATATAGGTTACACACAGTTTTATATTAAGGAATTATTAATTTTTAGTGTGATTGTGTTAAAAATTAATCAGAGATGCATTTTAAGGTATTAATGGATGAAATTATATGTCTGTGATTTGCTTTAAAATATTTCAGGAAAAAATGAGGAGAGGTCAGACAGACAGACTACCAAAATGTTGATAATTACTGAAAGCACAGTAATGGGTACCAAACTTTTACTTCCACTTAGAAAGGTGTTTTACTATTTAATTAGACAACTCTGAAATGGCTGGGGTTTATATATATATGTGTATGTGTTTCATTTCTTTTTGGAGGGAGAATTGCAAATAGCCCTACTACTGTTAATTAAAAAAAAATTTTGGTGGTTAAATACAGATTAAAAATTTGATGTTAACCATTTTGAAGTATATGGTTCTGCACCATTAAGTACATTCATTATGGTGCAACCATCACTATCATCCATCTCCAAAACATGATTAAAATTGTAAGTTGAAATTTAAATTTTATTCATTCATTTCTTGATTAGTAAATACATCCACACAGATCAAAATCCAAAAACATGTTTTAAAAATGTATCCTTGAAATCTGTATCTTTAAATCTACTTACTGTAAATAATCTCCTTCCTTCAAAGGCCTACCCAACACTCTAATGAAGTTTTCCCAGACATCCCAAAGTTAGAAGTAATCTCCTCCTCCTGTAAATCAGCTCTCACTTTTCCTTACTGAATTAGCTCTTTTCATATGACACCTCATAATGCCAATGATCATTTTATGTACATAAGCTGGTTCACTAACAAGACTACAAGCAACTTGTAGAACGGGGTCATTTCATATAACATAGCTCTTTGTATCTAATAAAATACTTAGTGAATTCTGATTTCAAGCCAGGGGTTATCCCTGAATAACAAAACTTAAGGTTAATGATACGGTTTTGGACATAAATTATATTATTTAAGTTACTCTATTTACTTGTTTATTACTATCCCCAAGATTGAAAGTACTTCCAATTTACAGAAACTCACTCAATACCTTGCCCCTGATGGACATGAACTACATGAACCTACATTCATTTCACTTCTTTGGTAATTTCCTCCTCTAAATTTTCTCTTTTTTTCTGAAGCCCATATTATTTGAATACTGGATTTTTTGGATTAATACCTGTACTGGTTTTTTTGTTTGTTTTTTGTTTTGAATTTAATTTTAAGAGTGGGAGGAAGGGAGAGAGGAGAGAGACATCAATTTGTTGTTCCACTTATTTAGGCATTCATTGGTTGAATTTTGTATGTGCCCTGGCTGGGGATCAAACCCACCACCTTGGTGTATCGGGACAACACTCTTAACCAACTGACCTACCAAGAGCTAAGGAGAGAGGCTTCAGGAGAAAGCAAATCTGCCAATATCTTAACCTTAGTCTTTAAGCCTCCAAAAATGTGAGAAAATAAATTTCTGCTGTTTAAGCCACCCAGTTTGTGGTGCTCTGTTATGGCAGCTTTAGCAGACTAATACACCAATATTCACAGAGAAATATATTCCAAACATTCCTCTTACCTGGATATGCATATCTCTCTAACTTGTTGAGGTGTCAGAGCAAAAATAAAAAACTTCTCTTGAAATCGTTGAATACTGCTTTGAACTGAAAAGGGGGAAAAAGATAATATTAAAATAACAAATAGAAGGATATTAGCTCCTGCAACAACTATAGGTAGTTTATTTTAGCAATTACACTCCTAGAAATCATGTCAGAGATTGCCTCATATCCTCCCAGAACATATAAAAATGGACAGAGGGAAAGAGGCTGTTTATGATAGAGGCCTAAAAATGAAACAAAACTGTAAGTCATAAACATAACTATGCCGCATAAAATACAAGCACAGAACTGCAGTAGTGTCTCTACTTCTTCAATTCCTACTCACTCCTCAATTATTGTGCGGTTTCCACTTTCTACTTTCTATCACCAATGACTTTTTAACTGTCAAATTTAATAAACTATATTTGGAGATAAACACACTGCATTTTCAATCTTACTTAATGATAGGAGCACCCAGTCTCTCCAGCGAGAAACCCCAAACAGTCCAACACAGGTACAAATGGAGTCCCAGAAGGAGTAAATAGGGCTTAAAAAAAAAAAGAAAATTTTAAAAACTTGCAGAAATAATGGAAGAATATCCCCTAACTTTGGTAGAAGAGAATAAAGCCCTTACAGATCAAACTGTAAACAAAATAAATACAAAGAAAACTAGTCACATCAAAATCAAACTACTGAATATCAATGATGGTTATAAAATCCTGAAAGCAGTAGAGAAAAGACAAACCATACTTACAAGGGAACAATACAAATAAAGGCTGACCTCTCATCAGAAACAAGGTAGGCAAGAAATCATCTTCAAAGTGTAAGAAATTCTCAACTGAAAATTCAATACCCTTCAAAAACAGGGTAAAATAAGGACTTTTATATAAACAAAAGCGAAGACAATTTGTTGGAAACAGACATACACAAGAAATGTAAGAGGAAATTACCAGAATTTTAAAAAATGATACCAAATTCAAAACCAAATTTTCAGGAATGAAAACAACCACTAATAATATGTAAGTGGAAAAGGTACAATAATATGCTGGGGTTTTTTCCCTTATAGTTTCCTTAAAAACGTAACTTTGTAACTTTAAAGCACAAGTAATGGCATTGAAAGGTATGAGCAGCCCTGGCTGGTGTGGCTCAGTGGATTGAGTGCTGGCCTGCAAACCAAAGGGTCACCAGTTTAATTCCCAATCAGGGCACATGCTTAGGTTGCAGGCCAGGTCCGCAGTTGGGGATGTGCAAGAGGCAACCACACATTGATGCTTCTCTCCCTTTCTTTCTCTCTCTCCTCCCCTCTCTCTAAAAATAAACAAATCTTAAAAAAAAAAAAAAAAGGCAGAAAGGATAAAGATGTAACATTATCTACCCAACATGTGTAATTCTTGCTTCATTTTCATAAGTCTCATTATCATAAATCTCCAGAGGCAGATCCACTCTTACTGTATCCAAAATGCAAAGCTAGATGCAAGACCTTCAGTGAACTCACCAATGTAAATGCCAGTATCTGAGGCCCTGTCTACATGACTGAAGTCAGTCTACGCAGAAAATTACCCATAAATGCTTTTATGTTGACAGCAACAAATGAAAAGGAAAAAGACCATGACTCATAGACATGAATCAGATATGACTTTGTTCAAACCCTTTCCTTTTTCAACAATCCTTCAGATTCTATTATTCAAAGATGGCTACAGTATCTCCCACATCCTTCCAATAACGTAACCTTGATGCTCTTCCAATTAACTAGTGAAGTCTGTTATCACCTGAATAACAGTTTGTGACTGTTTCAACCAAAAATATATGGTATAAGTAATGCTATACAACTTGCAAGGCTAGATCATAAAAGCGTCATGCACTTCTTCCTTGCTCACTCTTGAAACCCAGCACTCAGGCTATAAAGAAATTCAAACTAGACCACATGTACGTATTCCAGACAACAGCCATGCTGAGTGCAAGTCAGTAGGTGCCAGAGACGCCAGACATGTTGAGTGAAGAGATCCCACCTTCTAGTCACGCCCAGCCTTTAAGTCTTCTCGGCTAAGATCGCAGACATCTTAGGAGAGAGACAAGCCAAAAAAGATGGCAGAACACAGGCAGAGAAACAGTTAACTATGTTAGTTGATAATACATGAGATTATGAGGTACTTTCCCATTCTGTTATAGTTAAATAATGTTTGAATTTTCAATTACTAGCTTAATGTACTTTTGTAATCTGAAAAGCACGATAAAGAAATTGCCAAGGAAGAAATTTTAAGAAATCAAAGACTCAAAGTACTTTGAAGGTATTTTACAACATACCAAGCACCTAGAGATAGCAACATACAGATACTTTACCACAGGAGAATATACATAATATACCATTATATAAATTTCAAAAGCAAAATAATTAAACATTAATATATACATATGTATGGTAAAACATGCAAAGGAGAGGAACACAAATTCAGGATAGTGATTTAACTAAGAAAAGGCAAGTATGTGGCTTCAAAAATTCTAACACTTTTTTTTTAAAAATGGGTAGTATTTTCACACGTTATTTAATGTTTTATATATATTCTTTTGTACAGGCTGAACATAGACCCATTTTTTAAATAGAAATAAAATTCCTGCCCCAGCCAGTGTAGCTCATCTCTCACACATCAGTTGTTTGGGAGTATCGCCTGTACACCAAAAGTTGGCAGGTTCAATCCCTGACCAGGGTGCATATGGGAGGCAACCAATTGATGTTCATCTCTCTCTAAAATCAATAAACATATTTTTAAAAAATAATAAAAACTTTAAAAAAAGGAAATAAAATTCCCAAAGGATTTCACCTTCAAAAAAATTACCTTAAGAAAAAAGAAAATTGAAAAGAAAAAGACTACCTGTGAGAGTACACCGGAAAAGCTATTTAAGAGGAGGACAGAGATTTGGGCCAGCTTGTTTTTAGATTAGGGATTCTCCACCTGTTACAGTATAACCATAGGTATAGAGAACCTCATTTAGTATTATGTATACTCAGGTTTTCTAGAGGCCAATCTGTCATTTTAAATGCTAAAATATTTTTATTTCAATAATTTTTAATAAAAATAATTCCAAACTGCAAAATATATCTTTTTCTTAAAAAAGTTTTAAATAACTTTTATTTATTTTAGAGAGAGGGGAAGAGAAGGAAAGAAACATCAGTGTGGGGCTGCCTCTCACGCACCCTCTACTAAGGACCTGGCCCACAACCCAGGCATGTGCCCTCACTGGGAATCGAACCTGAGACCCTTTAGTCCCCAGGCCGGAGCTCACTCCACTGAGCCACACCAGCCAGGGTAATATTATCTTCTTAAATAGAATATACCATGTTGGTTTGGGTTTTTTTTGTTTTTGGGGGGTTTTTTTGGTGAAGGGATGGTTAGCTTCAATATATGTGTCATGCTATAACAGCAATTATTTCAAACACTAAAGGGCTTTCGGTTTCAAAATCCTAATAGATTTAGGAATGATATTTTTGACCTCTTGTATTTGTTTTTTTCAACCATGGCTCTTCCAGTCTCTCCCATTCTGTCAGTTCCTACTCAACAATATGTTGATGACTTGGAAATCATCTAATCGATTGTATATAAAACAAAAAACACAAACTGGCTTGCAGGTATCAAAAATACATGCTTTGAAATTTGGATTTGATATCTCTTTTGACTCCTACAGATTATTATTTCTCAGTTCCCAAATGTAAGCAGGTTTCTCCATACCAGTGTCCAAAAAAATAAGTTTTCCCAGAATTAAAAAAAATTTTATTTATTTATTTTTAGGGAGAGGGAAGGAGGGAGAAAGAGGGCGAGAAACATCAATGTATGAGAGAAACATCAATTAACTGCCTCTTGCATGCATCTCCACAGGGGACCAAACCCACAAGCCAGGCATATGCCCTGACAGGAATCGAACCCACAACTTTTCACTTTGTGGGACAACACCCAAACCAACTGAGACACACGGGTCAGAGCTCCCAGAATTTTTTTAAGTATTTTCAACATCATAAAAACATATCATATTACATTGCCTTAGGCATGTGATACAAAAAATTTCAACTAAAGGTCATTACTGAAAAGTATTGTATTTTTTCAGATTTTATTTTGCAGACTATATGGTACTATGCTGATTTTTTAACTTTCTCAAATTCTAAAAGAGCATTTCTTAGATCACTGTTTTATCAATCACACATAGTAAGACTAAATACATTAAGAAAGTTCTTTTTTCTCATGTGTAGAAGGCAGAATAATGAAATGTTTAAGCCTCATTTTAAAACAAGAATCAGGCTATAATGTTTATAAAAACAGTGACAGATAAGTCTCCTGGAAAATATATATTTTTTAGCTCAGGAGTAAAAAGTTATTTTATAAGCTCTAAGGTTATATATATTCCTTACATTCTAATTATGTTGAAAAGACAGGTTTTCTACCTTCAACACAAAATACTTCTGGCATTATTTTATCTAAGCCAAATGAGATTAAAAAAAGTTTTATTTTAAAACTTATAAAAAGCCTACTACTTTTCTTTAACTTTATTGAAGTTCATAAAAGAGAAATTCTATGAAGAATACAGAAAAGCAAAAATATTTCTATTTCTGAACAAAGCAGGGAAGAAAGGAAATAAAAGCAGCAAGTTCCCCCAGAGTTCACCCCTCGGTGCACCACAGAGGCTGAGAAGCAGAGAAGACACACTGCTGCATCTTCTGTCTCCAGTCTTTTCTTCCAGGCATTCAGCCCTGTCTCGGAAACCCCTTCCACTGTAACCATGACCCCACAGGCCCTCATCTTCTCAGTCCCCCACCTTGACCATACTCCAGAGGAGTCCCATGAGGTGGGATCAGCCAAGCAGGTCACTAGTCTAAATCTTTCTCAAAATATACACAGAAAAATAAATTTGCCCCCCGGCTGGTGTGGCTCAGAGGACTGAGTGCTGGTCTGAAAACCTAAAGGTCACTGATTCAATTCCCAGTCCGGGCACATGCCTGGGTTGCAAGTCCAGGTCCCCAGGGGGCGGTGTGTGAGAGGCAGGTGCACGAGAGGCAACCAATCTATGTTTCTCTCACACATCACCACGTCTCTCCCTCTCTTTCTCCCTCCCTGCCCCTCACTCTAAACATAAATAAATAAAATCTTTAAAAAAAGAAATTTGCAATAATTGCTGAGAAAGAAACATGTATAAGCCATGACATTGAACACTGGTAAAAACCAGAAAACCATGACAAAGGGAGGAATAAAATTAATTATGGAAACATTTTAACTAGATAAATGAGGTTGTAGAAAAAAGGAATAACGATGAAAACAAAATCTTTTTAAAAAGGCAACTGAGTAATAAATATTTAAAGTGTTTGCTCCTATTAATTTCAGAAATTAAAAAAATCTAAAAAAGACACGAGTCTTCTTTATCCATCAAAATCACAAAGATTTGTTTTTAATAACTCTTAATAAAGGCAGGAAGTAAAGTGCAATAAGAAACATTCTTTCACTTAGTTTAATTTAAACTGGCACAGCTCTTCTGGAAACTAATTTAGAAATCAATATGTTATCAAGAATAACAGTTCTTACTCTTTGATGCAGTAATTCTATGCATAGGGCTTTGCACAAATAATAAAATGTGAACAAACACAAAATCCTTATTTCAGAATGAATGTAATGAAGGGATATAATGCATTACTCTACCTGCCTGGCTCAGTATTGTTAAATAAAAACAAAGCAAGGAGAAAGGGCCTGGAAGAGGCATGGTCTCCTTGGCCTGCCTACCAATCAGGTCATATTGACCTCCATTAACCAGCTCTGTCCCTCAAAATTTCCTTATGGTACAGCCAAGTAGTACTGTAGTATAATCCTACACAAAGGATGGAAAAGAAAATAATGTCCCAGATTAACTATGAAGTATCACTTTTTCAAACAATTTATTATCAATAAATCCAAATACCTCTGTATATCATTTCACTGGGTAGCAAGAAATTAAGCAGTTACAACACAGAAGTCATTAACCTAAGTAAAAATTTGTTAAAGACACATGTATCAACTTTAATATGATAAAATTTATTTAAATTTTCTGAACAGGAAATCATTAATTAATAGTTGAAGGCCTCTTGTTTTCATTGTTGTCCAGAAGAAATGGACTTATCTAACACTTACCTAAACTCGTGGGCTTGATGAGAACATCAAGAACATCATAAAAGGGCAAGTTTTTTAACTGTACATCAGGATGGACAGGAGGAATGGGGGGAGATGGCTGCTGCATCTCAAACGTGGGTTTATTATCTTGAAGCAACACAGAACCTACAGGGGAGGACGGTGAATGAGGTGTAACTGAAGTGGAAGGCAACGTGTGGATTCCAGCCACAGCCAAGTCAGGTTCTACAGGTGATGAGCTACCATCCAAACTGAAAACCGACGATTTGATTGTGGATAAATCAGAAAGTCCTTCAAGAGTCCGTGGATATCGACGTCTATACAATTCTCGGATTTTAATCTGAACCGCAGGGCTGCAGCCGCTCTTCAGTAAATGCAGCGCCCTCATCAGGAGGTCATGTTTGCGTCCACTTTTATTCCGTCCAGCAAAGCCTAGTAACACTTGTAGTTCAGAAACCCTAAAACTAGAAACCATATTCTAAAAGGAGAGAGGGGGAAAAAAAAAAAAAGACATAAGCCAATAGTCACCCACAAGTATATAAATACTCCATTTAACATATACTACAAAATCTTATTCTTCCAGCATTTGATCAACTGGCATGTGCTGGTAACCTGAATTTCTACATACCAGTTAGAACTGTTCCTGTTTATGCTGCTAGCCCCACGTGACCCAAGTAACATTCAAGGCATGGTGTTAATTATGTTTTGCTGTACTCAATTTTGGTAGCCTACTGGTTTCTTTCAACCACTTCATTGTGTACTTATGCTCAAGTGAAAACTTATAGATGCTTTATGACTATGAAATGTATAACCAACGAAAATGTTCCTTTAAAACTAAGTCCTACAAATACACATTATCATCATCAATTAACCAATTAGATTTTTACAACGCTATAAGCTTAATTTCTGAGGGTAAGCAGTAAATCTACAAAATCAAGGCAAATTTGTGATCCAAAATCCAACGAATTTTTTTACCAACTCAAATATGAAATAGACAATGTAAGAAAATAGTATTTGTTAAAATTAAAGCTAAAAATCCATACATCTTATTTAGCAGACAAATTTCTAGAACAACTGAAGTTCTCAGCTGAGTACCCAATGAGGAAAAGACCTCTGAAGAGCAAGGAAATGAGTAATCACAAATCTCAAAGGTCAAGATTCCCTCCAAGCCCCTGTTGACTCGTTCTTGGATGTAAAATGAACAGGCAGTTCCTGCTTCAGATCTTACCATCTATTTGTTCAACAAAGCTTCATATATACTTTAAGCCCCTCACTGCCTCATAAATCCACCTACTTAATGATTTTCAGTCAATTCTGAACTCAGAAGTAACTCACGCGTGGGTCAGATTTACTTGTACACATGTGCACCATCTAGCCAGAAAGAAGAGTAAGACCCAGAGCTGACCAAACGCCCTTTCAGAAATCTACCCTTTCAAAAATTGGCCCTAAGGAAAGCCTTCTCCCACCTCTCAGTGCAGCACACTCCACAGCTACCTGGGACTCCTTCTCAACCTGGCAGGTATGCACAGGCGCAATACCTAGTGCTGGCACTGACTCATGATATGTAATTCCCCTGTTCTGTACTTTTAAGTCTCATTGATAGCCCAGATGCAATTGTTTAAAACTCTTCTTGACTTTTAAATAGTTGTCAGAAATAGTTGCTAGTTTTCTGAACTGCAAGCAAATTTAAATATATTAAATATAGCTGCATATAAAAGCTGTAACAAACTCGTAATTCTACTTCATATATTATGTCTCTGTATTTCATATTGTAGAGGCAAGAGAATTAAGTAGCAATCCTAGCACCCATTTTTTTCCACTTGATCAGCACAGTCTAACAGAAGCAGAAACCAGAGGCATAATGCTAAGTCTTCTAGTAACCACATTAAAATAAAACAAATTAATTTTGATAATATGCTTTATTTAACCCAATACAGTATATCAAAAGTATTTCTTCAATATGTAATATTTATGATTTTAAAAAATCAAATTTTTAAAAAGTGTCAATGAGATTTTTTTTTCCATACTAATTTTGCAATATCCATTGTGTATTTTACACTTAAGAGTATACTTCTTTTTGGACTAACCACATTTCAAGTGCTTAAGAGCCACACATGGCTAGTAGCTACCACACTGGACAGTGCAGCTCTAAATGATTCTCACATAGCAACATATATCATAATGCCATGGTCATTACACTTCAACTCACTTTATTTCCTCCATGTGTTAAATATGATTTGATTTATCTTACCCCTGTGTTATGGACAAGATTAGGAAAAAAAGATAGAAAAGATGAAAATTCTTAGCCGATCTCATGACACACCTGTTACAGTTTACTCAAGGTTTCATACATAACAAGGAATATGATAGCTTTTCAGAAGTGTCTTCCCAAACAAGAAATGCAATGCTAGTAAATTCTTCAATTGAAGTTTGCTCATATTAGAGCCTATATAAGCAACATTAAATGATGGAAAACACTAACACCAACAAAGGCAGTCATGCAGAAACAAGGTATCTGTATTTCCTTCTAAAGAAATCAAACAAACTGGGAATTCACTGCTCTGCCTCCCTCCTTCCAGTTATTCTCAGGTATTCTTCGTTTTAAGAAAACCTGTCTTACAGAAATGACAGAAGCAACACAAAGTCACTCTACGCTTGGCTTACAAAAAGGAATTTCTGGAGGTCTCATTTCACTTATTTCCAATGATAAATTTATCTGGCAAAGAATGCTAATGCAAAATGACTCTATTAGCTATTTTTAACTATACATACAAAAAGGAAGACAGATATAAAAGCTTAGAATTATAAATATAGAATCCAAAGATTCTGTTCAAAAAAGAAATCCCCTAGTTTGGGGAGAAGCAAAGGAAACAAAAGCAGATAGGACAGTCTGCTCGCAAAATGCTCCAAAAGGTAAAGCACTGCTAGGCACTCCCAAAGATGATAGCTTTGAGAGTCAATGGTGTCCTGTGGAAAAATTTACAGCAGCAATCAGTAGTTGTATGTACCTCAAGTCCTAGCATCAAGACTCAGGACACCTTGGGAGAGTCACTTCAACACTCTGGTCATCAATTTCTATTTAAAAACAAACAACAACAAAATCTGTCCTTTATTTAGCATTTACTATTAAGATAGTCCCTAAGGAGCTTACTAAGTCAAATTCTATGAATGTATTTCTTGACAAACCTCACTGGAACCCATTTCTTCCTAAAGTGAAGCTTAATTTTTTGACTCAGTCTCTGATCAAGTTTCAGTCATCAATTTCAGCTCTTGTTCTCCAATTTTAAAGTGGATTTTATCAAACTATCCTGCTGCCTCCCAAAATCTGCCTCTAATATTCCAGTTTTGAGTGCTATATGCTCTACACAGGGAAATATCTCAATAAATGCTTGCCAACTGACTTTAAGGAAATTCTATGAACTATAAAAAATATGTTGGTATCTGGTATTTAAAAATATATACATAATCTGGATTTTTAAAGAAAAGCCAATGTAAATTAAGACTAGGACTGTAAATCAACTTTATCAGAGCTAAATAACACACAATTATAAAAAATCTGAAACCAGGGACATTTTATAATTGGATTATTATATATAGCAGTAAAGGAAAAGTTGAAGGTGTAACATTTAGAAAACAACTCATCAAACAAGTAAATGTGAGTTACAAGTGATCACCAATAAGTAAAAATATTTCAGAGACTCCCCTTCAACTCTTAAACATAAGATGAAAATAGTTTAAAAATAGCCCAGAACTTGAGGAAGTTATAATAGATTGGAAGTTATGGTAAAGATCAAACACAAACTTTGTAGATCCTACATCTATTATCATATAAAATATGGAAGAGGTAAAGGAAATACTGAGGGGAACTGCGAAATCACATTGTTAATATTGTCTACCCCAACTGCAACATTAACACTATCTACATCTTCATTTATAAGTAGGGATAGATAAAGAAAAAAAACTCCAGATATGTAATAAAAAGAAATGACCAAGATGATGCCATAAGAGAAATAATATGCAAAATCTATAAACATATTCTAATACCTAACCACTACCCATTTCAGAGGTCAGAGCAGTTCCTGGCCCTGCATTCATGTAAAATCACATATTCCCTATAACTGAATCACCTTTTATTTGAGACCTTATGTGAATCTCTTTCTCACAAGACACTGACTAAAATAACTGCTCAGCTAAAGAAATCAAAATTGAAATTCAATTATTAAAAGAAACAATAGAGAATATTACATTTTAAAATCTATAAAGTAAGCCTAAGCTGGGAGAACATCTCCCTAATGCTTCTATTATTATACAAGATTTAAAATAAATGTAGTGAGTTCAAAAAGCAAAAAAGGTAACATGGTCCCTTGGTACCTGAAGGGGACTGGTTTCTTGATGCCCCTATGCTCCACATACAGCTAAATCCACAGGTGCTTGAGTACCTTAGTCAGCCCTCCCTCTTCACAGATGTGGAAGAGGCGGACACAGAAGACTGACTGTAACAACAAAATAAACACACCCTCAAAAAGAATGAAGAATTAAAAATAAAGGAAAGCATGAATCAGAAAGCAAAAAACAGAAAAGTCTGTAAAGTCAGTCCCCCGAAAAAGGGGGTGGGGGGGTCTTGAGAATGAGAAAAGGAATATAAAGACCACAAATACTAAGCAAATTTCCTTAAAAAGAAAATAGCACACACAACTATACTCTAATAACTCACAGATAAGCTATTTCCTAGAAAAATATAAATTATGCAATCTGATTAGAGAGGTATATTATCTTTGTCCCCTCACTTCCAAAAGCATCTACCCTTAATAAACAAATTCTACTAAGCCTTGAAGGTAAAGATGGAATTCTGTTCCTTAAATTGTTCAACAGAATAAAAGTCAGAAAACCCAACACATGTTAGAAGATAAACATGGAAAAGTTTGTTGAACACAAAACACAGTATTTTTTAAATTGCCAAATTTCTTTTTCAGACTTCAGCAGGGAGTCAACTCATACACCGAAACCTGAAGCAAATCCTGATGAAACAAGGGGCCTGGTCTTTCTCATTTCCTAATAGGAACTATAAGGACTGGTTTGAGTCCCAGTCAGGGCACATGCCTGGGTTGTGGGCCAGGTCCCCAGTTGTGGGCATGGAAGAGGCAAACATACATTGATATTTCTTTCCCTCTCTTTCTCTGAAAATAAAATATTTTTTAAAAATAAGTAAAATAGTATCAAATTTGTGAAACTAAGAAAAGATAGAGCAAAAATGCTGGGCAACAGCATATATTTGCATGCATATAACTTGGCAGAGTGGTGAACAGTTTAAAGTATGCTATAGCAGAGAAAGGAAAAGATAGTAATTTTAGACTTATATATGTGTATTAAAACTTCAAGAGAAAATGCACGAAAACTTCAAGAGTCTGTGAAAAAGCACAGCTGGTGCAATGTTTGAAATCAATGCAGTATACCTTATTAATAGCTAAAAAAGAAAAT